GGCCTCCCCCACAGATCTTCAATGTGATCGGTTCTGCGCCTCCCGCATCCAGCGGCTTTAATGAATAATTTTATGAAACCATTCGTGCGCGAGTCCTACTCGCACTTGGCAGGATTTTCCTCTCTTTTTAGTTTTTTTAAAAAGGGAAAATTAATAAATATGTGATCCGCTTTCCAGTAGGTAGAGGGTCCACTGTCACGGTGGTCAGACAAGGTGCCCGTCGATGTCGTCTTTTTCGACAGCCTTATCATCAGCGGCCTATTATTATCCTCACTTCTGGGGCACGGGCATTCCCCCTGGATGGAATCACCATATGGGTCCGATGTGGACGGCGGATGTTAACAACTGCAGATATAGCCGAGACCAACGACTTAAACGTGCCGTTCCGACTACAAAGGAGTCCGAGATAATATATTTTTGGTCACCATCCTATGCCCGACCTTTGTGAAGATTTACTTAACTTCCACATCGCAAATGGAATGCGCTAACCATTGCCGCCTTCGAGTTCGTTATAGTGTAAGAAACAATGCAATAACAAAATGAAACAATTTAATTCCCAACAATATTTTATTGGCAGGTTCTACATTATTAAACTTTAAGAGGCATAAAGTACATAAATAGCTTGCATTAATACAATTTTAAACCATATAAAATCTAAAAATAGAAAATAAAATATATAATTCACCTTAAATATTGAACTAGACAATATTGCACTAAAAATACAAAAATATTTATTAATTTAAAATTAAAAACTTTCAATTTGGAAATTTTGGTGCGTATTTTTTATAAAGCGCCCGCAACACTTAAACGTTTAACACTCATTAATTATTATTTTTAATAATTTACAAGCGGTGATAATATTTATAATTAGTTAATATATATATATATAAATTAACCATGAAAGAAAGATCACAGATGGACTTATACAAGACAATATTCAATCATTTTATTATGATTTTTATAGGTACCTATATAAAGTTTCAATGTAAAAATACATTATTTTTAAATTTTGTGAGGATACTTTTAAATTCAGTGAGCTTTTCGTATTACTTACTAGATGGCGTTAATCACGCATGCTTTTGAAGTCACTGTGATCTTTCTTTCCTTATTCAGCCAACAATCGGGTCTCTCAAAACCATCAAACGTTTCAAATTGATTTTATACCTTATACTATTGTATATTAAGTTCAAAATCTATTGCAGACATTTAACGTTTTTTGATAAGCCGATATGCAGTTGCGTGATGCCTTACTAGGTTTTAACGTCTACTTTATTTTACAATTACACACATTACGATATAATTTAACAATTGCCGTGCTAATTTGTTATTATATAAGTGAACTATTGCATAACGAGAGTTTTAAATACAATGCAAACGTTGCTGTTGGATTGAGACACCGCCATATAAGTTGATATAGCCGTCCCGCTTCGACAACTGCAATGGCATCGCTTTATAGAGCTCATATAAATTTAGCAATCGATTTGAACCTTTACCGTCATATTATAAAACGGGAACTAACTTTAGTACCAGGTGTAAACCATCATCCGACCAAAATAAGTCAACACGACTCAATTAGAAGTTTCCTCTTCTGCTATTGTCAATTTGTTTTAGGCGGCTGATGATTTAAACCGGGTACATACATATGCACTTTAATCGACGTTTTATAATAAGATGGTTATGGTTCGCTTATATAGTATATATCGACATTGAACTCGCCGGGTTCGAGCCGGCACAGACAGACATAATATTCTTCTATCGAGTGTCTTAATATATATCTACAGTAACACGACCGCACAGTCTATATGGCGGGCAGTGGTAATATACGAATAAAATAAACGAAGTGAAGTAGTCCTACCGTATAACTAAATTTATTTCAATTTGGTTGGCATCGGAATCAATACTGTATCGAATGTTAATGTTGCATTTTGATCGAATCTGATTTCAACCTAATTGAAGTCGATGTTGTTACGCGGTAGCTCTGCTGATGTGCTGATATTTATGTGTGTAAGTGAGTGTGTGAGCGCGTGTATGTGTGTGTGTGTGTGTGTGTGTGTGTGTGTGTGTGTGTGTGTGTGTGTGTGTGTGTGTGTGTGTGTGTGTTTGTGTGTAAAAATTGCCGAAAATCTTTCATAATGTCTAAATAAAAACAATCAACAATCCGATATAAGTTTAAGCAAATAAAGTGCTTATAAATTAAGTTTTGCTTTTAAAATTAACCTAAATCAAATTTTCTATAATATACAATAATTATAAGAGGATATAAATAATAAATCAAATGGAATGGTAAACATACAATTAATTCATTAGCATGATACATTAAGGTCGATTTTTCAATACTCTACATAAATGTTTCAACTACATATTAGAGAATTTGAATATAATCAAATATACAAAATAAAATTATTTTTGAACCGTTTAATAACGTTGGTTTTATTCGATCATTGAAAAAGCGCTACTTAGTTAAGGAAAAAATAGCACCTAAAAATAAATAAATTGTAACATAACATTGAGACTTTTAATATTGCACTAGGAACATATATATATCTTTTTATTATAAATCTTTGAATCAAGTGTTGAGCAATGACTGATTAAAATGTGGGCTGATGAAGCTGGATTAACAACGAAATGCCTTTTCAACGGTGTAAAAATTAAGTAGATTTTCAATTACTCTAGAATTGCACTGAACACAAAAAAACATTGAAAAATATAATACGTTACAATTGGGGTATTTGACTCTTTTCTGAAAATTATTTAAAATAATTTTTTGATGCATTATAAACACACTCAATATATTTTATGGGAATCTGTTTTATTTTTGTAGCTCTATATAACAACGCTGATCACGTGGTATTTGTGACGTCACACGCCTGTAAATAGGTCAAGGCGACATAACCTATTTATCAACTAATTATTTGCGATATAAACAAATAGTATTACAGAAGAGAAATTAAGGTAAAATTTTATGTTTTGTATTTGTATCATACCTGGTTTTTGTATAAATACTAACTTTGCGTATTTCTGATAGCACTCTTTTGACATGGTAGCTTCTTGTTTACGTGTGACGTCACACTTCGGTAAACAGAACCTGTTATTGGTTGAGACGACAACCAATTACAGGTCGTTACCGCCGTTCATTGAATTCCTTAAAACGCAACATTTTTTACTAACGCTAAATATATTTTTTGCAGATTCTAAGAAATAAACTTGATTAGATTATTATCTAACAGGATGACCATTATACGTAACTTATTTTCAATAGCATCAAACATCCTATTGACGAGGTTGTCAAATAGATCTGTACAGTCTTCAAAGGAAGTGTTAATATAACTCGATGTAATAAATCTTTTAAAAGTAAAAAACAAACATAAATATAAAGATATACACATATAAAAGTTATCTCCATAACAAAATTGTTGTTCTTTAGAAACTATATTTTACTGTGCAAAACTAGAGTAGAAAAAGCATATGTAGAGTTATGGCACTACAGACTTTGTAAGAAGTGCTTTTTAAACAGATCATTATCGAATTTGATATCATCGAAATAAAGGTGGGAATACATTTCTGTATCGTGTTGTGTAGTATCGCGACAGAAACATATTTCATACATTTAATTATGATTGCAATATGCATGTAGTGTGCCGCGCCAGAACAACATACGTTTCATGAAAAACAACACGCGACACATAAATGTGGCCCCACCTTTATGTGTAAAACACTATGCGGCTGATATTGATTATATTATATTTTCCCTAAAAATATCTTAAAATATTTTGAGGTAAACATTTTTTTTGTCAATAAATAATACCAATTCTATGTTTATTAATTATTTACAAAAGAACCTAATTCTCTTAAGTCCCACTATTCATTTCATAATAGCAAATCGAGATTTGTGAGATTAATACGAAAAACGTGGCTTTATAATTGACTGGTTAATGTTTATTATTTGTACAATTCGTATAGGCACCGACTATTGTCATTTACAGCGTACTGCAAAGAATTTGAAAGAGTTTTTAAGGAAATGGTGCAAATAAAGTTATTACATGTGGGAAATGGAAAATTTTTATGATACCTATAATAGCAAAATGCAAAAAATTCTAGCACTTCTTAATCTGGTAGACTTCTAGCACTGGTGTGTTAACAATAGTGTTTTTGAACCTTAATACATTGACAGTTAAGTTAAAAATCATTTTCAAATATAAATATCTTGTTATCTCATGTACCAAAAAGGCGTCTCATAATATCTCTATCTTACTCGCACTAGTAGAACAGAGTGTGACAAATGTTGTATTTTATAAAATAAATGTAAAACAAACAGGGCGATTCTGTAAAAATCAGAAACGTCATTTAGTGAAGAAATTCTATTGATTCCACTTTTTGTATAAAAAAAAAACAAAATTGATTGAATATACGTGTCTCAGATATTCTATTCTATTCTATTCTAGTTATTACCAATTCAAGGTTGAGCGGATGCTGCTTGTTGTAGTGAATTCAGACACCAGAGTGAATTCTAATTCGGGTTTGGATTTTTATAGAATCGCAGGGCAGAACAAAATTACCATTCTTCTTATGTTCCAATCATCGCCTTCAAAGTCAAGTAAAAATATCAGAATAAAATATGTGAATATTCAAAAGTGTATAATAACGCTACTTCAAATCTAACAAAGCGTTTTCTAACTTTATTTTAACTTAGTGTACTGGTACTTCGGAAATTAAATACAATTATCATAAATAAAAAACTACTGGAGTATCGACTTGCGTGAAATAATAAAATAAAGACAAGTGTTAAGTTAGCGTTGTTGTGAAACAACCTCCAAGTAAATACAACATTTATGCTTACGATAGTAGGGACTGTATAAAATATTTTCACATGTGCATCTCTAACTTTTTTGTTTGGTAGAGTAGGACCATACGACGAATTTCAGGATAAGTCGAAAACTGCTTTTAATCTTCCGGATTGAAATAATAGAACCAAATTAAATAACGTGAAAGAACACCATGCTACCTACAGTCATTTAATGACATCACACACTAAAGTAGCCTTTATCACGAAGGCTTAAAGACCTCATTCCTAAAGACAACTTTCGCTTAGGCAGATTTTGATATTAGCAAATGACAACGAGATAATGACAATTAATTCAACGCTATTGTCTAAATGAAAAAAGTTTTCAAATTTACCGCCCCTTTCTTGCACAACCACGCGGTAGTAAGTGTGAGTGAGACAGAACGAGGCGTGCAATTTAGTAGAAGAACAGAAGTCTCTCTTGTGCTGTGCCCGACAGGAGGCGCCACCCGCGCTTGATGTTAAGGTACTGAATGATGGCGCGGACACAGATTAGGATACCTGGCAAATAATGTGGCAATATGTAACATCGATGCAATACGTATACACAGCGGCAACTGTCAATGCCGATGATTGAAAAAAAAAACAACGTTCATTTTATTCAAGTTTTGTAAATGATTGACGAATTACTGCCACTGGGAGTGTTTAATAGCTCCTGTTGTTTTATACGACGCTATTAAACTAGCAACATAATTGGCAGATTTACTAATTTAAAAATAGCTTCTGGTAAGCTTTTTTAGGTTACCTAAGTTAGGTTTGAGTTCTTTTCGTTTATTTGTAATGGATATAAACTGAAAAGCTTCTGGACCGAATCCAAACATCTTTTCACTAATATCAAAGTACATTACTATCATCACATCATACTACTACTAAAAGTGTCAAACTAATAGAGTGATTCCTTAAGTTCATGACAAGATTTACTATGATGTAACGGTGGTTCGATGATATGAAGACGAAGGTTAAAATTGTACAAATTACTTGTCGACACGACAAACAATAAACCCACCCATCACATTAATATTGAAGAGATATCTCTTTTGACATTGCATTTACAACAAAAACTTTAGTTTTAATTTATGGAATTCGCTGGAACATTCTACGGGGGATAGTGGAGGCAAAAGTTTGAGAATAGTGTCTAGTTAGTTACCGAACGCCATGATGAGCCACCAGAGCCAGGAGTTCTCGTGGGAGGCGAGCTCGGTGGAGTGCTTCACGATGAGCGTCCACTTGGCGAGCGAGAGGCCGAAGCCGGCGAGCGCGCCGTACCGACTCGCCACCGTGTGGCAGAAACACATCAGCAGCAAGAAACCGATCCAGTTGAACAGGAACGCGACTACCTCACACGCAACAGAGATTTACATTGACCTACTTCATTTTAAATACAATATATGTCATTGAAAAATATTATTATTTTCATTAGGTCATTTATTGAAATAATTAAATTTTCCATGTGAAATAAATTTAATCAATAAAAAGTACAATAGAGATTAAATATTCTTCAACACTATAGCGAGTTTTGTATATATTATATATAACCTTTGTGAACCAACACATTTATAAATAGCGTGGCTTAAATATACAAATAAATTTCTTAATAAATAATATATGTTTAAGCAGTTTTAAAAGTAGTTACATATTGTTATATACTTCATTTTGTTATATATCACTAAGCCAACGAATAATTATATTACTCACCAAAGAACGACGTCAGGAACATGATGTCTGTACCCAGTAGACTGTTCTCGGGATCGAGCTGTTCCGCCGTCGAATCCGGCAACGTCACGAATGCGGCGTACGTTGGATGATGCGGCGGCGGCTCTTGTGCCTTAACAGAACAGACATCGATTAACTAGTACATGCAGTTACTAGGGTTGCCACCTTTTTGGCAATTGATGATATTATTGTTAAGTGATTCATTTTTAGGATTCTGTAGACAAAAAAGGAATTTTTATCGTTTCACTATGTCCAACTTAGCTCATAAGCTATTGTACCAGAAAGTTATGATTTATATATTAAAGCCTAATATTATTATTATCACTGAATGCCTAATGCATTTTTTTTCTTGTTTTTATTTAACCACTTCGTTTGCCAGAATATCAGCGTTGATGTGGCGCTTTCCGTGTCGCATCAACACCAGCTGATGCAGAGTCCTGGTTGACCTCACTTTCTTTCTCTTTTATTCATTATGTACCTTATTATTTCTTTTGTATCTTTATTGTGCTTTATGTGTTCCTAATGATGTATTTTCTTGTGTGTGTCTTTGTGAGGTCAATAAATGTTTCTTCTTCTTCTTCTATATATATTCATGCCAAATCATAATTTTCAGGTACAATAGCTTTTGAGCTAAGTTAGACACAGTGAAATGAAAGTAGTTTTAATAATTTGTAGTTTGCAATTTACAATTTACAGAGAAATTCGTACATCATTCATCACTGTCCTTCTGACACATAGGCCTCATATCCATAGAGTCCCCGCTATTCTACGTAAGTCATCAGTCCATCTCTTGAGCTGTCTACCTCTTTTCCTTTTCATGTTATAACGCAGTATCCATTCAGTAAGGTTTTTGACCCATCTCCACTTATTGCATTTCATATTAACATCCTCGAATTTGGTGATCTTGCACAGATCAGATGCACTCATCTTATCTCTCAATTTGTATCCAAGGATGCTCCTTTCCATACTTCATTGGGTTGTTCTTAGTTTGTTTTGGAGACTTTGGGTTAGGGCCCATGTTTGACAGCCATATGTCAGTATAGGTAATAAACAGGTGTTGAAGAGTTTTCTCTTGATACTGATTTTGTACTTTTTTTTTAAATATCTTTAAGAGCCCAGTATCGCTTTCATGTGTTTGTTACTCGCCTGTCGATTTCTTGTGGCATCTGGTTTTGGAAGGATATTATCTGTCCTAGGTAAATATAGTTATTCACATATTCTATTTGTTTGTTATCAACAAGTATTATTTTTACAATATTGTTTGTCATCAGCTTGGTTTTTAACTTGTTGATTGTTAGGCCCACTTCTTTACTTTTGCTAGCTAGGCATAGGCAGCTTAGGCGTTCAGTGATAGATAGATATAAATAATATAACTCTATGCATTACAGACATTGTAATACTGAATGAAGTCACAATTGTTTAGTTAAGTTTTAAATCATTAACTGAATATGATGGCTGTATTATTTCATAAGAAAAACTGTTACAATTTTTCTGGTTATATACTTTGTATGACAATTGTAATATTAACATTCATTTGAAGTTATTTCTTACCACATGTTGGCAAAATTTTTAAAAGGGTTATTCTTTCACTATGATCCTGCACCAGTGGAATTACAGTCCAATAGTAGAATCAATGGTACCATTTTAAAACCAAATCAAATACTCATTGCGTAGGGAACTCTGAGGGTCCTTTAAAAATGGGGGGCCAGAACAAAACAGTTATATATTTTAAGGAACAAAAATTAAAGGTTTATCTAACTTGCTACATTATTTTTTTATAGAAATAAACTAGATAATTAGCAATTATGACAATTTCAATAAGCAACATGATTATATTAAAAAAAAAAAAACAAACACATTGCACATATTATTGTACTCCTCAATCCAAATCCACAAAGAACAATGGCTCACTCCATAATTGAGTCACATCATCAAAGTTAGTTTCAAAATATTGCTTAAAACCAGACCATTTACCAACAACCTTGTATAGGGAGTTCCTTGAGTCTTCTATATGTTCCCTACGTACAGCTACATATAGCTGCTTTACAATAACAATGTACCTGCGGAATACTTTCGCCTTCCAATTGTTTCTCACGTTGCACTTCTTCATATGTGGGCAACTTAGAATTGGCTGCAACATCATACGGCGGAGGTGCTGAGAAATCAGCCTGAGGTGGAGGAATATCTTGCATGTTATCTAGAAACAGAACACAATTACTATTACATGTAAAATACTGACAAATTATTATTACAGATAAAATTGTTGATGGGTGACCAAAACCATTATTTTAACCCCTAGTTTAGAGCCATTATTCTTTTTTGCCAAAGTTAATATTATACTTGTACAAAAACAGTTACCTCAGTAACTGGTCATTTCATAGGTCAACTTAAGTGTGTTTATATACTAAATTTAGCAGTTATGAACAATGCAACTGTTGAGTAAGGCTAACGGCCGAGCCTCAGGCCCACAATTCTATTAATTTTTATGTAATAATTGCATTTCAACAAAAACTACTTGCATTTTGACACTGTACAACCTGAAGTGCAATCTCTAATTAGATGACTGATATATATTAATGATCTAATAAATTGAACTGTCATAAAGGGTTGTAGTTGAAACACAAAAGTCAACACAATCTATGAGTTGTATATTAAATTTTGAAACAAATATCTGTTCTTTCCTTTTTCCAAACAATCTGAAAGATATTTGCACAACAAGTTTTACAATATGTAGGTGTAACCATTTGTGGGCAGATAATGGGTGTTAAATTTTATGATCTTCTTGATGTTTATTGACGTGTTTTATCATCAATATATTTTTAGTACAGATAATTATCTTGGGAAACATTATTGACAAATACATATGTACCAAATGCGATAAGCAAACGATCGTTCAGTACTTACTTATGTCAATAAATGGGGGTGGCATATTGGGGTCTACAGACGAGGGAAATATTACGGTAAGATGTGCCGGCGGGTAAATCGGGTCCCCCCTATTATGGCTCTGCAATCACACATAGAACTGTCACATAAAAAGCTGATCTTCCTACTTAAACAGTTACATAAATAAACAATCAAAAAACAATGTACACATACCATGTTTGGTGATTTGAAGTATAGTTCAATAACAGAATGACACAATTTTGACCACTGATAATTAATTGACGATTTAATTATATTATGTAAGTCTTTAGAGAATTATTGTATTGAATTTTTACGCATATTTCAAGGTTTTTCACATTTGCATGAAGCACACAGACTAGTAAATAAAGCATAGAAACATAGAGTGATGCCGAGGTCAATGACAAAAATGAACAGAACTTTATCATATTTCTATGGTGGGCATTATATTGTATGGGTTAATTACTGTCTAGTATTACTCGACGCAATCGAGTGGTGGTTTCCGGATAAAGGGTTTGAATTATTTTCAGTAGGTACTTGGATGCCCCCATCGATTGGCAATGAGGAAGCACTAAAAAAATATATTAGTTTCCGAAATCAAATTAGATGTCGCTACGGTACTTTCTTGATTTCTCCATGACAAAATGACAACTCGTCCGGTTTTCTTTCATATATAAAAGTAAATTAATTTTCAAAACCCAATAAACAACTCATATTCTATTTGTACTTTTTCGTGTTTGTATTGATATCTAAGTTTCGAACTTTGCAGATATCAGTTTTTTTGTCCATTCGTTTACTTCAAAAATCAACTTTTGCTAGAGTCGCAATCTAGTGAGGTGCTTTTTTTAAATACTTCCTCATTGTGGTAAAAATGAGATAGGCGACCGGCTATTTGCATTGGATAGTCAATATTTTCGCCGCTTATTGCTTTTGTATCTGGATGAAAAAAAAAGTTTCGCTTTCGGTTGATACCTGACTGTTCATTTTCTCTTCGCCTTGGTCGTGAGACACGTGCATTAAAAATATGTTTACTGCCTACGTTCAAATTGGAATGGGTCTGCCCCTCCGAGGGGCCTCCACGATAACATGCACCCTGCGAGAATGGTCTTGGATTGACATTGTGCGTACAGACCTTGTACTTGCGTGCCAAATCCACCGTGTGAGCCCTGCGAGGTCTGACAAAACGGTGTGTTGGTTGATACACGTCTTTTTTGTGTTCTGATTATTTTAGTCATTTTGCTTGCTCTTTGTTGTGCTATCTCGCTATTTTGTTGCTGTGGATTATTACCTGTTTACGTTTGTATATTTATTTAAGTGCTTAATTAATATTTAATTTTGTTTTCTGTATAAGCAATGGACCGGGTTCCTCCGGATCCTCCGGATCCTCCTGATGGAGAGTTGGAGTTGACTCAATCTCCGATGGAGCTATCACCACCAATATTTAGCCAATCCGGCACAAAACGACGTATTGAATTCGAAAATCAATGTGAGCCCATTAAAAAAGTTATTACTGATTCTTTGAAGTTGCAACAAAATGAAATTAACATAGTTTCAACATCAACAAGTCAATCAGTATATACACACCCGTCATTAAAAGAGGGTCATAAGTCTTATTCTGATCTTGATAAGGGCCCATTTATTATACATGTTTCAAAGATTGAGTCAAATCCTTCAACTGGAACTACTATTCGACCAATTATTTTCGGGCAATTCCTAAAGCAAAACAAAATCACCAATATAGTTAAGGATGGTGTCAAAAAAATTGGCCGCAACCGTATTGCTGTTGAATTTAAAACTGGTAAGGATGCTAATAACTTTTTAATTAATCCTTTATTAGCTCGTTACAATTATACTGTAGTAATTCCTACTTTTAATGTTACACGCATGGGTGTCATTAGAGGCATTCCAACGGAAATATGCATGGACGAGCTGGTCGACTCTTTAGTTATTCCTGATTACTGTGGGATGGTTCTAAAAGCCAGACGCCTCAATAGAAAACGAGTTTTAGATGGTCATGCTTCTTGGATCCCTACCCAATCAGTTGTTTTAACATTCAAAGGACAAAATCTCCCTGAAAGAGTTTTTTCTTTTTATACCTCTATTCCCGTTATCCCATATCAACTCCCAATTATCCAATGCAACAATTGTTGCCGTTTTGGACATATTAAATCTCAGTGCCGATCTAAACCGAGATGTTATCGTTGTGCGCAGCCGCATATGGGAGAGAGTTGTAATGTTACAGAAGATATTGCTTCGTGTTTATACTGTTCTGGTAAACACTTTGCTACGAACAAGATCTGTCCTGAACAGTGTCGCCAAAAGTCGATCAAAATTAGAATGACTCAAGATAATATTTCTTTCCAAGAAGCTTCTGCTTTATATCCCAATGTAAGAAGGTTGTACTCTGAGTCAGTAAATTCTTCGACTACAACCGTACCTCAAATTGTGCATTCTCAACCCTCACCTCTGACTTCTCGTTCTTATAAAAAGACTGTTTTCCTCTCTCCTCGACAACATTCTGCCCTGGGGAAGGAATATGACAAGCAGGCTCACCAGGACATAATTAGGAATTGTCCTCCAACTCTTCCTAATGGATGTGCCCTTGGTAATTCGAGCACTAATGATATAGTTCCGAATGATGATTGTCTTGATCTTCTGTGGTTGCTTGTAGCTAATATTTTGTCGAAATTCAGTGACGTACCATTACCGCCCAACGTAGCTCCGAAAATTTTACCTCTTTTAAATTTATTAACCAAAAATGGCTCCTCTGAATATAATTCAGTGGAACAGCAATAGTATTCGTTCTAAAAAGCATGAAATCCAATATTTTATATATAAGTACTCTCCTCTTATTTTTGCCATTTCGGAGACGTGGCTTCCTAGGAATATTTCTTTCAATATTCCTGGATATCTATGTCTGCGCGATGACAGAGATGATGGTTATGCAGGAAGTGCTCTCATTATTAGTAACTCCCTACTATTTACTCAAGTCCCACTTCCTATTCATAATAGGGATCTAATTAATGCTGTTGCTGTTAGAATAAATAATATTTCTTTTCTTTCGTTATATATCCCACACCCAAATGTATCTGTTTTATTGGAACTCCGGGTAATTATTTCTGCTTTACCACCGCCTGTGCTTATTTTGGGTGATTTCAATGCTCATCATGAGTCATGGGGCTCCTATCACTCCGATACCTTTGGCAGTTTAATTATTGATTTATTAGATGAGCTGGACTTATGTGTTTTGAACAATGGTAGACCTACAAGGAGAAACTCCCCATCACAGAACCAGAGTGCAGTTGACTTATCCATTTGCTCTTCGCGTCTATCTTCCCTTTTTTTATGGGATGTTTTAAGTAGTACCTTTGGTAGTGATCACTTTCCCATTCTTTTAACTTTACCTGACCGTACGCTCACAACATTCAGTAATACTCCTCTTTTGAAATTTGATTTAAATAAAGCTGATTGGACATGTTTTTCTTTAGAAGTTAAAAATAAATTAAATTCATTACCTGAGATTTCCAATGCAAGTTGTTTGACTGCATATGAAGCCTTCACGGAAGCTCTTCTCAGTTCTGCCAATTCTCATATTCCCACGAAATCAACGATACGTAAAAGAAATTCTCCACCATGGTGGGATTCCGAATGCACAGACATTATCCGTAAGAGAAAGGAAGCAGAGAAGAAATACAATTTGTCTATGACTGAAGAAAACTTCTCTCAGTACCAACAAATAGCTGTTCACTCCAAAAAATTTTTATCTCAAAAAAAGAAACTTGGTTGGACTAGGTTTTGCGAAAGCATGTCTCCTCGCACTTCCGCAGGCATGGTTTGGAGACAAATGAATCGATTTCGTGGTTCTATGAGGTCAAAATCTGTGTCAGCTAACGATCCATCAGGATGGGTTACCGCATTTGCTGATAAACTCGCTCCCTCGTTTGTTCCGAACTATGACTATCTTCCTATAAAAACATATGACATCATCCCATCTGTTGGTAATTTAGATAATCCTTTCACCTTGCGGGAACTTGACTTGGCACTTGGAGGTCTTAGAGATACTGCCCCCGGTATAGATGGTATTCCATATTCGTTTCTTGTTAAGTCGAGGGAAGAAACCAAACTATATTATTTGAAATTAGTTAATACCTTTTACCATTTAGGTATCATCCCTGAATCCTGGAATAAGCAACTAGTTATCCCTCTGCTTAAACCTGGCAAAGACCCTTTGGACTATAATTCTTATAGGCCCATTGCATTATCGTCCACCCTTTTCAAAGTGTCAGAACATATGATCAGGAATCGTCTAGAGTGGTTTTTTGAGAGTCAAGGTCTTTTGGCTAAATCTCAGTTTGGTTTTCGAAAGGGTTTCAGCACTCTGGATAATTTAAGTATACTTACGACTGATATTCGTATAGCTTTTAAGAAAAAGCAATATGTAGTTGCTGCGTTTTTAGATATAGCAGGCGCCTATGATAATGTCCTTCTTCCAATTCTCAGACGTAAATTGATTCAGTTGAGTGTTCCTGAGAAGTTGGTTCGATTCATAATTAATTCTATTTCAGCTAGATCTATTGAAATCAAATGTCATGGAGCGCCTTCTATAGTCAGGTCTGTTTGGTATGGTCTACCTCAAGGGTCGGTTTTGAGTCCCCTGCTATATAGTATTTATACTTATGACCTAGAGAGCGTTGTAGATTCATTCTGTCAAGTCTTACAGTATGCAGATGACGTAGCCCTCTATATAAGATCGAATTCAATCGAGGAAGCTTGCTTTCGTCTCAATACTGCGTTAAGTTATCTTGGTGATTGGCTAATGGATCACGGCTTGTCACTATCAGTTTCTAAATGCTGCAGTATAGTGTTTACCAGAAAGCGTAACATTCCTACAGCTCAAATAGTTTTTCAAGATGTCCCTATTCCCATGAATAACCAAGTAAAATTTTTAGGCGTTATTCTAGATTCTAAATTATCAGGAACTCCTCATTTCCATAGTGTTGTAAATAAATGCGAGAAAGGGGTCAATGTTCTCCGTGCTCTTTCGGGTGTATGGTGGGGTGCTCATCCATTCACTCAAAAATTAATATATAATGCCCTAGTCCGCTGTCATTTCGATTATGGTTCCTTTCTTTTAGACCCATGTAATAAGTTGCCACTTGATAAAATTTCTAAAGTTCAATCTAAATGCTTGCGGATTATTATAGGTGCCATGAAATCGTCTCCTATCAATAGTCTCCAGATCGAATGCGTTGATCCCCCTTTGTATCTGCGTAGGCAATTTTTGAGTGATCGATTTTTCCTTAAAGTTATACAACGTGCATCCCATCCTTTACTTAAAAAATTAGAAATATTGTTGAAAGTTTCTAGTACTTCCTCCAGTTCATCGGTAGGTGTCTCTTGTATCCTCCATAGCTACAAAAAATTCCATACTCCTTCCCTTCCCATAGAACGGTATTCTCGTCTTCCTCTTTTTGAAAATAGCTTTGAATCACTTATTTTTGAGCCGATCATTCTTCTTGATTTTGGAATCGACAAAGACTCTCCATATGCCATGCGTACAATGGCACGGAAATTAGCATCGGAATATAAAGGCTGGATTTCTATGTACACTGATGCGTCCAAGCAGCATGTTAATGATCCAGTTGGATCAGCAGTATGGATTCCCGCTCACAGATTAGTATTAAGTTTCAAAATTCCCTCTCTCTCTTCTGTATTTACAGGAGAAGCTTTAGCTCTCCTTGAGGCCATCCTATTTGCCGAATCTCATAACTTTAACAAAACTATCATTTTCACAGATTCACAGAGTTGCTTACAGTCTATAATATCACATCCGTTTCGTTCTAAAAATAAATTTCCAATAATATTTAAAATAAGACAAGCATTGCATAGGTGCCATCTTAAGAAGCTGCTCATTACCCTCGCATGGATACCGGGACATTGTGGTATTCCTGGGAACGAGACAGCTGATGCATGTGCTAAGCAAGCTGTTATAACTGGCTCTTTAAAATATTCCAAACTTTTTCATCACGATCTCTTTGTACTAGCACATGAACATTTAATGAGGTCATGGAATGTTGATTGGGAAAATACTAGAAATAGAGCGGGAAAGTATTATTTTGAAATTCAGAGAACTATCCCCAGTACTCCCTGGTTCTTTAAGGAAAAGCTTTTAAGTAAAAAAACGATTTCAATTATTTGTCGCCTGAGAATTGGACATGTGTGTACGCCGGTTCGACTTGCCAAATTTAAAATTAAAGACAACCCCCTCTGCGATTGTGGCATTGAGGAAGGAACTACGGATCATATTTTATTTAATTGTTCAAATTTATCCATTTCGCTTTATGATTTGCTACCATCAAAAGTTCCACGTCCAACAAATATAAAATGTATCTTGAGTATGGAGAATCCCAGCCCATTCAAAATTTTAGCAAAATTCTTTGCAATCAATAATAGTCTTAATTTATAAATATATTTGTTTTCTATATACATTCTATTTGTATTATCTTTAACAATGTAATCAGATAGACGCGCTCAGAGCTATTTTTTTTATTTTATTGAAATTCAAAATTTTACATATTTTATTATTGTTTCTATACGTGTAAAGACCACAAACGTGACATTGGCGGAATTGTGTAAATGCAAATAGGCCATACATTTTTATTTCCTTTAAAAAATGTGTAAAAAGTGAAAGAGTACTGCAGTACTTTCGAAACTTTTAATAGTTTGATACCTAGTAATCGGTGTTTTATACACACCCTGAAATTCCTTTGTAAATTATCAGTTTTCCTATTAAATATGAAAACGGCTTTGATGGTGGCTGAAAAGCCGTCTTTGGCCCAAAATCTCGCTAATATACTTAGCAGTGGCAAATGTATTACATCTAAAGGTATATAAACACATTGCATCTCAATAGTAGAACCTTTCCTATAAATGCGTGATTGGTTTGCTAAAGAGGTTAATAAAAATGTTATTCCAGGTTCTAATAATGTTTGTTCTGTGCATGAGTGGAGTGGTACTTTCAAGAATGAACCAGTGAGATACAAAATGACTTCTGTATGTGGTCATGTGATGAGTTTAGATTTTACTGGTAAATATAATAACTGGGACAAAGTGGATCCAATCGAGTTGTTTTGCTGTCCTACAGAGAAGAAGGAAGCAATGCCTCGATTAAGAATTCCCGCGTTTTTAGCCCAAGAAGCAAGAGGTTGTGATTTTCTTATTTTGTGGCTTGATTGTGATAAAGAAGGTGAAAATATTTGTTTTGAGGTGGGTTTTAATACTGTTAAAAACATTTAAATGATCTGACTTACCTTTTTTTCTGTTGCTCTATCGATTTTAACGAAATGTAAAAAATCATTATTATTATATCAGGGCTTGCAATATAAGTAATAATTAGAAATAAAAAATAGAATATTTAAATAATATGTTGGTGCACTATACCTGTATTATTCCATTTATAGGGTAGGCCTGAGGTTGACATTAATGGGCTGGTGATGATGACTATACTTTTAATTTTTTATTCTTTTAGGTTATGAATTGCGTCCAGCCGTATATGAAAGGTGATGTCTTCTCACCTTTAGTTACCTATCGTGCACATTTCTCAGCCATTACTGATAAAGACATAAAAGCAGCCATGCTGAACTTAGGAAGGCCCAATGAAAACCAGTCCCGCAGTGTAGATGCTCGTCAGGAATTAGATTTACGTATTGGTTGCGCATTTACAAGATTTCAAACAAAGTATTTTCAAGGTGAATATGTTTGTGTCCAAATTTACTTTTTCTGTATTTATCTTTTTCAATCATAGTTCTTACTCTATCTTTTCCACTTTTTGTTCCATTCACACAGTTTAGTTGACAAAAAATCACATAATAATGGAGACCCATTTCTAACTATATTTATTGATTATAAACTCTTATTTCAGGTCGATATGGAAATTTGGATGCATCTCTGATATCATACGGACCGTGTCAAACTCCTACACTCGGTTTTTGTGTGCAGCGACATGACGAGATACAGACATTCAAACCAGAGACATATTGGGTCCTCCGTGTAACAGCATCTACCAATGAAGGAAGGGAATTACCTCTGGAATGGAAGAGAGTGAGATCTTTTGAGAAAGACATTGCTAACATGTTCCTTGCTGGCATCAAAGAAATAAAAGAAGCAGTGTAAGTTTTCCTGGTACACACTATAGCACATTAGGCTACTATTTATTATTTATGATTATGATATGTTTTTTATTGCATATGGGTCAACCACACAGACCAAAAGTACTTATAATTTTGTTATTATATTAAAGTAACTGGAGGAAATTATAGTATTGTTATGATTAGGATGGAACTAAAATAAAAAAAACTGAAGCCGTCATTTAACGGGGTTAAAAAATTATATTTGTAAACTGCATTAATAGTAATGTATTTATGAGTCAATTATAAAATTAATGCATAGCAATGTACTTGCTCGTATAGTAGCTACACTTGTAAGATGACATATTTTGCACTCTTATGGCTTGAATTTTTCCATTAGTGTTGTCAACGTACAAGCAAAAGAGAAGATAAAACCGCGTCCGACAGCACTCAACACTGTAGAACTGATGCGGGTCGCCAGTGCAGGACTAGGGATGGGACCACACCACGCTATGCAGGTACATACATGTAAACGGGCAGTGGCGTGCATGATATTGGCGTTGCGTTTATTTGACATGTAGATCGCTAGCAAATTTACTGAAAACTACATTTTATAAAATGGTTTCCATTTTACACCTCCACATCACATAAAACACACACACAAACACATGCATATATATATATATATATATATATAAAATATTATATATTATGTTGTTTCATAAAAATGGTGATGTAAGTGAACTGTATTCTTATTCTTCCTTTGAGTTTTTGGTTCTTACTTTGAATTTGTTTTAACCACCATTTAGAAAATGTAATAAGCATAAGTCTCATGTGAATGAATATTATTATATTAATATTAAGGCATTAAAAAGAGTGAATTTCATCAGGTTCATCTTTGCGAATGTTCCCTTTATTTGTAACAAATTCCTTACAATTATACAGCGCTATTAATAAACAAGGTTTAGCGTCAGAGGAAATTTACGTTAAAATTGCAATTTTAGTATTTGTCCAAAACCATATTATACACAAACCTACTACCTTCTAGCAGTAAATTTTATTCCCTTAGAATCTCATATTAGGTTAGGCTTTGCTAAGTCTCTGTTTAGTAATATGAAATTAGACTAATACTAAATACAGTTTGTAAATTTAATCAAATGTATAACAAAACGCTTCTAATACGTGCGTAGTTCTGGTTTAGAGCTGGTAAGTTACTTTTGCACTTGCTCTCATTAGCGACCTGTACACGTCAGCGCTGTACGCAGAATACGCAGTAGCAGGAAGCGCAGTAGTGATATAGTGATGCGAATGCGCCTGCGAAAGCGATGCTAAATGCGAATACGAATGCATATGCGAATATCTAGCACCGACATTCGCGTATACATCATGTATGCAAATGCGTATGTGAACATTCAGTTGTTTATTTTGATTTATTGGCACCAATTATTATATTAGATGATTATCGAACATTAAAAGCTTTCTTAATGACCGATCAAAGATTCAGAATCATCATCAAAAGCCCTTCTTGTATCCCTGCTGCAGGGGCTAAGGAAAATGGGCCATGACCCTCCACGCTGGCCCAATGGGGGTCGGAAGACTGGAGCGCGTGAACGACTGCAAATTGCAGCCGGGACCAACGGCTTGACGTGCCTTCCGAAGCAGGAAGTAGCTCGAGTTAATAATTTTTGGTCACTCATCCCGTGACTGACCCTTGAGAATGTTGCTTAACAACAACGATCGCTGGCCGCGGCGCGTAACCACTTCGTCACTGAGCTAATGTTTCTTTAGATTGCATTATTTATTTATTATATCCCAGGAAGACCTACAGCTAGCAAAGAGAAATGATGTGAAAATAGGAGGCAGAGAGGCAGTTCCATGTCTTCACGAATATGGAACATAGTTTACATGTGTAATTAGTAAACCGTTTCCTACTAGTATACAATTAGAATTTCCAACTGAATAAGTCATTGAATAATGCGTTTATTGCTTAAGATGGACTAGTTTCAATACAAACTAAAGTATTATGCAGAGTATTAAAATACACATAAACCAGAAAAATATAAGTTTATATCATATTATCACGCTTGTTATTAGTTGTAATTGCTTGTATGTTCTACCGGCGATGTGTAAAATAAATAGATCGTGATTTTTTTTTATCAATGTTGACCAGCCTAGAAATTTAAGAAGCGAAGCGAAGCGTTCGTCTATAATTGTATAGAACTTCAACTTAATTAGCGAAGCGCAACCAATACTTAAAAAAAAATTAAAAGTCATAAAATATTGGTCATCATCATCATCATCACTAACCCTTTTTGCGTCCCCACTGCAGGGGCTTAGGCCTTCCTTATGGATGGTTAAGGAGGATGGGCCATGACCCTCCACGCTGGTCCAATGCGGATTGGAGGGTATTAACGACTGCAAATGCAGTCGGGACCAACGGCTTAATGTGCCTTCCGAAGCACGGAGTATCCATCCCGTGACCGACCCTTGCGAAAGACTTAGATCGCGGGCCGCGGCGCTTATCCATTACACCACCGAGCCTCGTTTTATTTGCTCCCAAGCATATTATTTGTTTTCTTAGTTCTAATGAAAAGTTAATTATTATTTAGTATAAATCTTACACCTATTTTCACTAACCTAGAACAAGGCATAGCTTTACTAGAAACGCTTAATATTAAGAATCGCCTAAGCAGATTAGTTTAATTCCAAATGAATATTTTTTCTTTTATCCTTTTACATATTTATGACCTGTGTATGATCTGCAAATGCCTAGCGCAAAGCATCGCAAGACGAATATCATAACTTAAGACATAGCTTAATTTCATTAGGGGGTTCCTAGTCAATGGTGAAATGCATTTTTAGCTTAGGCGAATCCTAAATATTTAAGCTATATATTTTGGCCGACTCCTAATTTTAGTGAAAACGGGCATTAGTCTATTTGCATATCGATAAAATGGCTGATATCGCATGATAATGGCATAATTTAAAAAATATATATATATATTTAATTTTTTCAACCTAATAAAATTATCTACAAATAGATTTTTTCTGAAGTCATATTCACAAAATATTTTTGACAATTCTTGCGATTGCGGATGCGAATATTTAAAAATATACAATTATTGTAATATTAATAACATCACTAGCAGAGATATTATATCACTACTCTAGTGGATTTTGGGTAATATTGGGTAATAACAGCGCGTTCAATAAGCTTATTTGAATAAAAAATACTTTTCCTTTGAGAAAGAACCATATTCAACCAGTTTTAAACATTAAATTAAACCTTAAAGTCGATTGCAGAAATAGATATTTACCTACCCAAAATTATTGTGCACAGTATTTTGTGGGTAGTAAAAAAAAATATATATAAGAAAGTAAAATTGAGGTATATCTGACGTTTCAGATCGCAGAAAAGCTGTATACGCAAGGTTATATCTCGTATCCGCGCACAGAAACTACTAGTTATCCGGAAAATTATGATTTGATGTGAGTATTACGGTTATTTAAATTATTTATGTACACTAGAAGCTCCTTATTTACGGAGAATAGGTTTCTTAAATATGCCGCGAATACGGAATGGCATTTAGTATAGAATAATAGGGGATACGTTTCAAAAGTTCCTAAATAAAAACTATATGTACATATGTCAAAATAAATACAATTGAGATTATTGAAGAAGTACCAATTAAAATCAATTTTTATTGTCAGTTTTTAAAGATATTTAATCTTAGATTCATAATTAAGTAACTGTAGCGTTCGTAATGGAGCTTTTTTAAAAGTATTTTATGAATGCTACAACGAAGTAAAAACATAAGGCGTTGTTAAAGTCACCCCTGACAGATGCCCGAAGTATTTAAAAGATGGCGATGCGTTAATAAACTAAGCTGAATTCCTTCATGTTACGCGAATAATGAAGCCGCTTCTACTGTATATTGTTTCTGGCATGTATAGTTGCGTTAGCTACAATGTGTCCTATTCAATTTGAGAATGAGCCCGTGAATTGGTCTAATTTTGCCAGGGGCACTCTGCGACAGCAGCAGAACTCGTCCAAGTGGGGCGTCGAGGTTAGAGCGTTGATCGCCAACGGAATCAATAAACCCAAGAAGGGACACGACGCCGGCGACCACCCGCCCATCACGCCCATGAGGCCCGCCTGTGAGTATACCGTCTACAGAATCTCTCAGTGGAACACTTCAATAAATCAATATATTCACTGTTGTCTCTCAATATATCTATGATAATATTATGATTTATTTAGAAATTTATTTTTTATTTATTTTATTTGTTATACATGACAGAATTACAACAAGATGCATAAATAAGCGGTAAAAGTTAGCAATCAGATGTAGGCACAATCTGAGCAACAACATTAAAATAAAAATATTTTTAGATAAATTAAAAAGCATTTTATCTTTGACATGAATCAAAAAATAAATATCATTGTAATCGCACACCATATATATAAAAAAAAAATGTTAAAAAATATATAACCTTGCCGTTCCAAGCTTCAGAATCAATTGATAAACATAGTGACAGGTTAACTCTTTGCAATCACGTCGCGAAAGGTATGACATCTTTTGATATTCCAGAAAGTACTTCACTCCGCTATCGATGCACCGAGTCTCCTCTCGTCGCTTAGCATCAATATAAGATATAGATCTCGTCGTCCTAATATTTTCACAATATATTTTTTTAAATAACATTTTATTTTATAACCTAGTAATGAGAATGTGCCGGCCTTACAATGAATATACTCGCAATAATACCGATCTAGACATATTTAACCCAAGTTTCTCTCAATATAAAAAAAATGTATCCAATATAATTATAGATGCAAAATTTTCCTAACTTCAGTCACAGCAGCATTATTATTATTATTTTTGCATTTTTTTTATTTGTTTCAATTGTTTTTCAAATAATAAATTAAATAATAATAATTAATTTGCGTTTGAATAAGGTATACATATTAAGGATTGCCGTCTAGACTTATATATATTTAATAATACTCTATATTACACCTATCGTTACACTGACAGATTGTAATCTGTCAGTGTACCTATAATAAATAAAGATCATTCGGTATATAAGTTAGGGATTAACATGTGTATTTAAATTGTTTCATATTATACTTGTACGTATACAAAATGAATTATAGAAACAATATGCGGTTTTACACGCAGTAAAAATGTAATTGAATTCCAGCGGAGAGCGAACTGGAGGGCGACATGTGGCGCATATACGACTACGTGACGCGGCACTTCATCGCGACCCTGTCGGGCGACTGCAAGTATCTCTCCACCACCACCACCTTCCAGATCGGCACAGAGACGTTTCAATACACTGGCAACACTCTCATTGACGCCGGGTACACCGAGGTCATGCATTGGCAGGTTAGTTGAGGTGCATTAACTATTTAATGAGGGGTCGGCAATATTCATTCATTCATATATAGGTATATCATGAAAAAAAGTAGTGTTTCACAAAAAAGTAGTGTTTCACAAAAAAGTTGTGTTTCACAAAAAAAAGTAGTGTTCATAATCTTAACACAAGAAATAAAAATAAACTTGCTGTTCCAAGCTTCAGACTTCAGAAAACCAGAGGATCATTTCTGGGTAAATGTATTGGTATGTTCAATAAAGTTCCACAAAATGTAGTTGACCTACCCATAAATAAATTTAAAATTCATGTAAAGAACATATTATGCTATTATGAAGTTGATGATTATTTTAAAGATCTCAATGCATGGAATTAATAGTCTTCGCTTTGTTCTATAACAACTAATTATATGAGTACAACCTATGACAGACTTTGAAAGTTGTATTTATTATTGTGATAATACATATTATTTTGGTAATGACATGATTTATGTAAATGACATTACTTATGATAAAGAGCTGGTAAGTTTCTTTCGCTTGTTCTTCTTGTCAGCTAAAAGACGTCCTTAACAAGTGGTAGGGGAAAAAAATTTACTACTACTTGAATAATGATATTTTCATTTCATTTCATTTTATTTTTTGATATACATATAAATAAAAATTATAACTAACCGTGCTACTAATAGACTAGGTTTGGCGTCAGAGTAAATTTACGCTAAAATTGCATGTTTAGTTTTAGTCCAAATTCATATTATACAGAGAATAAGCAAACCTACTACCTTCTAGGAGTAAATATCGCGTAGAACCTCGTACTAGGTTAACCTTTGCCAAGTCTCTGTTTGTTAATATGGATTTTGACTAATAATAAGTGCAGTCAATTACGTAGGCTCCAGCCAGAGGAATTAAAAAAACGAAATTAAAATTTAATTTATTTATTAAAAGTAAAATTACAATTTATTCTATTACAAACTACTGTCTAAGCCCGATGCTAGGAACAAAGTACTGGAAAAATATAATTATTAATTTAATGAAAATGTGGATTTCACAATATTATGATGACGCCAGGTCACGTTGGCCGTCGGACGTTGTACCCACACGTTCCGCTGACGCTGCATCGTGGTTTCCTACAATACCTAACTGGCTAATTTGGGTCGCCGTTGATCTATAGGTATGGGCTGATATAATTAGTCTCAGCATAAATTTACTCCAACGCTAAACCTTGTTTATTAGTAACACTGTTAGTGTCTATAGCTATTTCTAGATGGTGCTAGTCGTTTTTTAAAACGTTAAACAAAATGTGAAAAAAAGATAATTCCTTAATTCGTAAATAATCATTTTATTATATTTGGAACATCTACTCTAGTAATGTATAAAAGGAAAAAATATAATTCATCAAATGACAGGATTTTAATTAATTACCTCGTGTGTTCATAAGTTTTGAAACAAAATAAAAGTTGCGTAACTTTTTTAATAATTATTATTTATTTTTAAAGTTTTCAGTAACCATTGAATTGATAGTATACATGACCGCCCTTGTTTTAATACAGGCCCTTAGACGATTTGGTCAGTCATTATTGGCGGCACGAATCTATTCTAGCGGAATTCGCTTTGCTTCTCGAACAAGGGTTCGCTTAGAGACACTACTCTAAGTTTGGGTGGGACTTTCGGTAGGCCCTGAGCTCTCATTCAGACCATAAAGTACAATCCAGCGGGTTGAGTTCGGGGCTGGAGGAGGCCCACTCGTCCTCCGCGATGAAGGCACATTCTCCCTCAACCAAGCTTGGGCGCTTTTTGCTTTATGGGTGGCGCCCCGAGTCTTGCTGAAAAACCCAATCCTTATTGTGAAATAACGTATCAGACAGGGGTTTTACCATGGGCTCTAAAATGTCTCTCTGATAATTCTTGGCTTTCAACTTGACACCTTGTTGACAGCAATGGAGCGGAGTGACACCTTCATACGAAACTCCCCACCATACCTTCACACAGGCTGAATGACGAGTGTTTGAAACATTCCGTGCAGAAGCTGGGACATCCTTGCTACTTTTAGCGTACACTTTATTGTTTTGTCGGTTCAACTTTTCTTCGACAGTAAAAATTTTCTCTTTGGTGAGGAATATATTCGTTGCATCATATCTCCTCAGCAACAACAACGTTCGTGTCGTAACTAACGTAGATGATCCTTTAAAAAGTGAACTTTTCTACGACTATAGGCATTTACTTTAAGATCATATTTCAGTATTATGTTCACTGAAACGCGCTAAATATTAGTGTCCAGAATGAGTTTTTTCCGAGTGCGACATGGATTTCGGCGAAGTCGCTCTCGGATGATTTTGATGTTCGCAGGCGTCCTCACAGGGCGTGGCCAACCACTCCTTTGGCAATCTTGCCGAGAACTTGTCTCTTTGTACCGCTGTACTGTGTAATATACGAAGTTACGGCTTACAGGAAAACTTTTCAGCTCGCGGAAAATCTGCATCGGTTTTTTTCCCGCCTTAAATAACGAAATGACAGTTGCACGTATTTGTTTCGTTCTCTCCATCACGACAAAACATAAACAAATGAATTTGCGATAGAAATAAACTAAAAGTTAACATTCCAATTTCAAAATCGGTAAAAAAATAACAGCCAGTAACATTTTAGTTCACTTTTTCAGTAAAAAGTTTGTCTCAAAACTTATGAACACATGAGGTATAAAAATGATTGTCTGATTCGCAGGTAAGAAATACCCTTTCAGTCTGAGAGTTGAATTCGTAGAAAATACCCATAACTACATTTAATTACTTCATAATGCTTACAATGTTATTTTGAACTTATAATTAGTTACTTCTTTTCAAGTTTCAAATCATAATATTCTAACCACATGGTAATTTTATGTTCCGACAAAAAATAGTGAATTAAAGTTTCGTGATCAAAAAATAAACGTGGAACTTAATCCTTTTTAAAACTACGAGATGAAAGAAAGAACCTTATTGATTGTTACGTGTGTACAACACTTGTCATTCGACAAGTACACTTATACATTTGGGTTGGGTTGAGATCACAAACAATTCTTGTTATGTTGATCTAATTGATTTCATTAAAAATAAATATATCTAATGTGTCTCCCTTCATAATTACTTTTGATGACGTTTTTAAAAATCTTCCTTTCCAGTGGTTCCATGCGTAATTCCAAAGTAATTTTGTTTTGCATACTTTTTGTTATCCATATACCTTAATATTAATATATAATTTGCCTTTTTCGAAAATTCTTGAAATGAATTAACAAACTATAAGTTATAAAATTATTACAACAATATTTTCGGGATTATACATAAATATTTCTATAATTAATAAAAAACAATATTTATTGCATTTTGTGCTGTCTATACTTTCTATTTTCATCATCACGCGGGTGTTATTTAGACAAGGCTACGGCGCATTAGCGATTTGCAGGTATTATATATTGTTTTGGTAGTTCGGTGGCGTAGTGGATAAGCGCCGCGACCAGCGATCGTTGTTGTTAAGCAACTTTCGCAAGGGTCGGTTAAGGGATGGGTGACCAAAAAAATATTATCTCGAGCTACTCCGTACTTTGGAAGGCATGTTAAGCCGTTAGTACCGGCTGCATTGGCAATCGTTAATACACTCCGATCCGCATTGGGCCAGCGTGGAGGGTCATGGCCCATCCTCCTTAACTATCCTGAAGGAAGGCCTGAGCCCCTGCAGTGGGGAAAAAGGGCTGATGATGATATATTGTTTGTCGTCAGGCGTTCGGCAAGGACGAGTTCGTGCCGGTGCTGAGTGTGGACGAGGTGTTGCGCGCGCACGACCACCGGCTAGTGGAGTGTCAGACGTCCCCGCCGGACTACCTCACTGAATCTGAAGTGAGTAACGTTGGACAATTTTATATTATAATAATTATAGGAATTCTACAGCATAATCATAACACTAACATATTTAGTTGATTAGTTCAATTACAGTTTTCCTGGGATAAAGTTATGAATATTTATAACCTCTAAATCTAAAACCTAAAAAATAATCTAAACATTTACAAAATGTTAATCAGCGACGAGGAACAAAGCGTTGGGCTCGAGATCGAACCACAGTAATGATTTTCCACAAGAATGATAATTAATCGATTTTATTTATATATATCCTATATCTTGTAAAAATAATTAAAAAAAAAAAACAAGTGAGCTAGTATAAGATATAATCATAGGATGATTATATCTTATACTAGCTTTCCGCCAGCGACTTTCATCGATTCATCCTTTCTATAAACAAAAAAAAAAACCGCAATAAAATCCGTTGCGAAGTTTTAAAGATTTAAGCATATAAGATTTATGCACATAGCGATAAAGGGACGAAGAAAGCGACTTTGTTTTATACTATGTAGTTATAAATATCGAGTGGGCGGCTAAAAAAAGAAATCACAAATTTCAAACGACTGAATCCCATCTCAGGGTGCCAGGGAACATGTGTTTTTTTAAGCATTTTTTATTAAGAATAGACTGAACAAAAAACTGTAAATTCAAAATTAACTGATTATACGGGATAGTATATATTATTTAAGAAATTGATTTTGATATGAAAAAAGGTAGTTTCTTCTTCATGTGTCAGGCTAGTTAGAACAGGTATTTATTTATTTTGCATCAAGTCCCTTAGTATGACGGTATAAGATGGCGGTATTCATGTCATATTTATATCTTTTTTTATGATTTTTTTATATATATGCAAACTCTATCCTTGTCCGTCTTGTCGAATGACATAGACTTAAATAATAAACTTAATACTGAACGCGTACGGACGAACGCAACAGTCGCTAGTTTACCAAATCAGAATACAAAACGTCACAATTGAAATTGCGTTTGATCGCCATTGCGTTCAAGAGTAAGCATGCTGTTGACGTCTCGCTTTCTCATTGTGTTAGACCTTAAGAAATCATTATGAATCATATAACATATTATTATTATTTATTTTTGTAAGGGGCTATGCAGTTCCCTGGGGAACTGTAGTCACTGCAACCTTGAATATCTATTGTGACTCGCCGCCAGATCTATAGTAACTCCTTTAGTCCGATAGACTTTAAAAAGTCTATAATATTCCTGGCTTTAAGAGATTTTATATCTGCTGGTCTGATTATATGTCGTCCCAGATGTATGCTTATTGTAACATAATTATAACGTTATTGTTTATAAGGTGATCACGTTGATGGAGAAGCACGGCATCGGTACGGACGCGTCGATACCGGTCCATATAAACAATATATGTCAACGCAACTACGTCACCGTCGGTAACGGCAGGCGGCTGGTGCCCACCAACCTGGGCATAGTGCTGGTGCACGGATATCAGAAGGTGACATATTGATGAACACCTTCCATATAGACATAATGTAATAAGTGAAATGGGACATCACACGGGCTTAGTGACGATTGGTAGGCGTTAACGAATGTAGACTCAGCCAATCTACGGCTTGACGTACCCTCCGGAACACGGAGGAGTGCGCGTCTTTAAAAATATTGGTCACCCATCCTATGGCCGGCCAATGCGAAAGTTATTTCACTTCCCCATAACAGACTCATACTCCTCATAATAATACTCATTTACTCCTATAATGAATTAAACGTCCACAATTGATATTGATCTTTAATGATTAAGAATTAAGGTTTATAATCCAAGTGGATAAAGCCAGTTCTGTATACGCTGACGAGCTGTTGCCTGAACATTGTATAACACGTGATCAGATCGACCCCGAGCTGGTACTGCCGACGATGCGTTCTGCCGTCGAGGAGCAGTTGAATCTGATAGCTGTAGGCAGGGCCGATTACCACGCTGTACTGGCACACACCAGCGAGATATTCAGGAGGAAGTTCCAGTACTTCGTCAGGTCCATAGAGGCGATGGACCAGCTGTTCGAGGTCAACTTCTCCTCGCTGAAGGCCAGCGGGAAGGCGCTCTCGCGGTGCGGGAAGTGCAGACGCTATATGAGATATATACAGGTGGGTTTGTGAGCTGTTTTTACATGCTAAACAGGCGCGACGAAAAATTTAAAAAAAATATATTGGTATTTTAATAGATTTGGAATATTTGGAGTATTATTTTTATTTTATTATTTGTATTTAAGTTGAGTTGTCTTAAATAATATCTTGGACACATTCGAAAACGTCGCGTTCAATCGAAAATCAATCTTTAATTCAATATTCGGTGATCGATTTGAATCGAGTTTTACAAAATAAACTCGTGTTCCTACTGTCGATGTTGTAACTTAATTATTCAAAATGACATAGTCATTATTCAAAATGACATATTTTGAATAATGACGTCAATGTTTTTTTGGTGTCGTTTACAGTAATGTAATAATAATTATTTGAACTTGGTACACATATTCTATTTAAATTATGCGCTTCGTCTATGTTCGTCAAGCTTCGGCAATCCTAATGTATTTTAAAGATATCTATATAGAGTTGTCATTAAATAATTAATCATTTTTCATACTGTGTTTCTTGCTATCAGCTGATACCAAAATGAAAACCCCAGATTAAAGAAAATCGAATTATATAGGAATAAATTAAGTACCTATATTCAAATAAGGTAATTTGGCGTATTACAGCTTTATACAATTCTTAATACTGAAATATTGCGTGATGTCACTTCCATCACAGTTTAGGTACTGACGAGTTTTGGTGGCTAAAACGACGATCACACATTGGTTTCTTGATCGGTTAAATTCTTAAACACGAAATATACCGAGGCGCATAATTTAAATAGTATATGTGTAATTTAACTAATTAAAATTTATGTCTTTTTTTAATAAAATCTTTGTTACTAGATATTTATCGTCAACAATTAACTCGCGGTTTAAATATGGATTTCTCTCTTTCTCTCTCTTACTCTATAGTCGTTCCCCCTTGACAGAGTGGTTGTTGATTCACGATATTGTCTCTATATTTATAAAACTTATTTTGAAAAGCTCCAATATGGTGTTGTTTATGATACTGGTACAAACAGGCGAAGCCGGCCCGCCTGCATTGCTCCCACTGCGACGACACATACTGCCTGCCGCAGAACGGCACTGTCCGCATATATCGTGAGCTCAAGTGTCCCCTGGACGACTTCGAGCTGTTGTCGTGGTCCTCCGGGAACAAGGGGAAGAGTTTCCCCCTCTGCCCTTACTGCTACAACCATCCGCCGTTCAGGTAGGTCTCATCTCAACATCACACTTAAAAAAATGCTATTTCATTAGATAATGGCTGGTTAACACGTTTTAACATAGGTATTTAACTTAAGTTATTTATAGCCAGTTGCACAAACGTTCATTAAGGGTTAATGACGCTTTAAAACTCTAATACTGGAGATTTTGTACCGAGAAGAACCGATGAAAAATAAAAAAGATTCGAGATTATTATTTTCGTTCGAAGAGAAAGTGGTCCGGTTTCCGAATTCACTTCATAAGCGACATGCGCTTGACCTTGACAGGGAATAGAATATCTAGGACACGTATGAATCAATCAATATTGTGTTGTATATTTATAAAAAAATGGAATCAATAGAATTTCTACACTAATATAAGTTCAGCAGATTCGTTTTCGAAGTGATTTCGTATTAAGGTTCGGAATTTTACGGAACAGCTCTGCAGAGCAGAAAATCTTTTTATCTTTTGAATATGCACGGGAACAAATATGGTTAACTCTAAGTCGATTAATACAGAAGTAAGAATGTTTTCCTTTTTTTAGTAGTTATTGTACTCTGAAAATAAAATAAAAATGGTTTTGCGAGTCACTACGTGTTTGGTTTCTAGCGTCGATGTTAGTATAGGCTAGTTGACAACCTTTTGTATTTAATAAATAAATAGTCCATTGATATCTGAGAAATAATGGAAAAGTAACAGCGTGTATGGGATTAATAGTTTTGGTAATACGTTACTGTGTTTGTGGAACTGTTGCTTGTCGGCCGAAAACGTCCCCTGCACAAATTCAATGCACAGAGGGCTAGTTTTTTGATCCGTAGTCAAATGTCATTTCACCATTTGTTAACTTGACTATAGTTAAAACATTAACCAGTTGTTAACCCGCTCTTTCGTTTTTTGATGCCAAATTAAACCATAGCCAAATTTAACCAATGGTTAATTTGTTGCCAGCACAATGAGTCGTTCTTTCGCTATACATTGACATGGGTAATTTTTTTCTGGGTGACCACACTAACGGTTAGAATGAACGGTACGAACTATATGCCATTTTTGACATTAGGATATTGTTCCAAATTTCAAATAGACAAAAGAAATCTATAGATTACAAAAAAGTATGGATGTTTATGGTTGTTCTGTTGTGTGCACTGGAAATATAAGGCAATTTCTTTAAAATGTTAAAAAGCAACAAAGATAAAAAAATCGGGTTATTTTAAAGATAACTTTTTTTTATAAAAAGCATATATTTGTTTATTATTTATCTTATCTTTATCTTATAGAGAAATACATGAAAAGAATATAGAATCTGGCATCAAGGTGGGATTGTAATGTTGGAAAATAAATTAAGGAATATGTATTTTATATATTGTAGGCATATTTACCTTTTGTATTGTCTATTCTTGGATTTTATAATATTTTTATTAATTAAATAATTTGGCATATGCTCATGCAAACAAGAAAACAAATTATTTTATATAGTACAAATATATTAAGGATGATCAAGATAAAAATATAACTTACTTTCAATAACCCTAAAACCCAAAAATTACAATGAATATTTTCCTATGTAATCGCATCAGAAAACGAGATCCCAAAATAACTAATGTCCAAATTCAGTATGGAATCATGTAGGTTATAAAAACAACGTAAAAAGCAATAACAAGGGACCAAGTAAATACAACGTAGTTGTACATCTGTTCTTTTAACCATCGGTCATTTACTTAACCTAGCTTCCAGTGATGGTTAAATTTTTTGACCAATGGTTGGAATTCTGACAATTGGTTAGGCTAACTATTAATCAAAAAACATATTTTTCTGATATTTAACCATTTGTCAAAGATTTTGACAAATGGTTGAGTTAACTACGGATCAAAAAACTGGCCCTAAGGGACGTCAAACGGTGCTACGGGTAGCGAAAAACTTATGCGCTTCTGGGCAATGTTTGTAATATCTTTGTTATTTGTGCATGTTGCTGTTATAATGAAACTTGTAACGTTCAATGCAACAAATTTTATGCCATATTTATTTTTGAAAATTTTCTTAGTATATTTATTATTAAAATAATATTTTGTAAATAAGTTTCATATAATTTATTTTGTTGAATATTTATAAGTTAAAATGATTCATATATATAGATGTATGTAGGGTGCTGAGAGTCTTCAAACAACTGAATTAAGTGAAAGTTATCCAAATTATCCAAACTAAGTATTAGAAGAACAAAGGCACACATCACATACTATCTTGAAAATAGAGACAGAGATGGTAAAACAGACCGCGTCTAACTAAAACTAACACAGTAGTGCCATCTGTGTATAACTAGTGGATGTAGATAAAAACTGATCATTTATAATGTTTCTCATTTACCATAGGGACATGAAGAAGGGTTTCGGTTGCAACTCGTGCACCCACCCGACGTGCCCGTACGGGGTCAACTCTCAGGGCGTGAGCGGGTGCGTCGAGTGCGACGCGGGCGTGCTCGTGTTAGACCCCTCCGCGCCCAAGTGGAAGTTGGCCTGCAACAGGTACGTATATATATATATATATATATATATAAGCTTTGTGACGTTGAATATGACATGGACATTAATTTGAGTACCTGCGGATTAGTGTAGTAGTCTGTGTGTAAACGTAAGATGAATGACATGAGTCTGTGTCATAGGAGGAAGCCATTTTATAGATGAAGTTTAGATATGTTCAAGATAAGTTTTTGAATTTTGTATTCATTTATTGTGCAGAAGACCATATAGGTTAAGTAGTAAGAAGAGTAAGGCATGAACATTTAATTGTCGATTCTCTGTTTTAGGTTAGAAACTTTTTCATTTGCTATATTTTATGTAAAAATTATTTGTGTTTAATAAATAAAATACTCTGTTTTAGATGAATCACATTGTGTTGTGCTATAAGAAAAATTGAACCTATCTTATATATATATATATATATATATATATATATATATATATATATATATATATATATATATATATATATATATATACCCAGCGCGCACCGGTGGGTGTTGACGACTGCAGATGCAGCCGGCACCGAGGTTTATGGCCACCCATCCTATGGCCGGCCAATGCTGAAGTTGCTTAACAACTGTGTCGCGGACCGGATATGAAACTTAGCTAAATGAATTTGTCTGCCCTCGAAACCCTCTGCATACTAAACTTCATGAAGATCATTGGAGCAGTTTCCGAGATTCAGATTATACATTAGTTTTCCGCTAGCGGCTTTTCTTGAATAGTCGTATGTTACAAATATAAACCTTCGGGACATACGCGGGCATAGTCGCGGTAAAACCGCTGGTACTAATATTCAGAGCTACACGCTATCGTGAACCTTATAGACGGAGTGTTCGATACAAAAATGTGCAAGAGATTACCAAAGATTGATATTTCAGTACGTGAACCTATTAAGATATATACACCACTCGGTACACAGTGCAGAGGTCAAGTGCTGTATTTTACAATAAGTATATCACCATAATTGTACTGCTACGACTGCAGTCCATTTTCAGTTGACACATATTTCATCGTGCATATTTTACAATATTTTCCTGTGCTGTCGTGAATACAATGTATTATTGGAAAACGAAACAGTAGCGGCTCGCTCGCTCCACAGTACACAAGCACTCCATAAGTACTTACATATTGGTGTTTTTCTTAGAATTATAATCGAATCAAGCATAGCTAGTAGTTATCATCTTTAAAAAATTATATGTCTCTGTAATTGGCCTAAGCTGCCGTTGAGTAATAAAGTGTATTTATAAATTTGTAGTATATGGTTAAATAATAAATTAAATTTGAAATGTAATCACTACATAGTATAAAACAAAGTCGCTTTCTGTCCCTATATCCATATGTATGCTTAAATCTTTAAAACTACGCAACGGATTTTGATGCGGTTTTTTTTATAGATAAAGTAATTCAAAAGGAAGGGTTTTTTTTGTATAATACAAGAGCACGCGAGCGTAGCCGCTGACGGAAAGCTAGTGACTTATAAAAACTGGTTGTTGCCCGTCGTGTTAACTATCTTGTATGGTATATGCGGTCGCTGTTGATATTTAGAGTTATTTTACAGCAATACAATTTTGTTACTTTTGGCGCGTATAGTAGACTAACTCGACTCTAATTACAACTACCCCATTTTAATATACAAAAAAATGCTAATGGTTTTTACCTTGTTTTTAATATAAGTATATGTAATAATAATAATAAGACCTGACCCTTGGTCGTCTGACCTCCACTGTCGACTGGGAAGAAAATTTTATTTATTCTCATATAATAATAATTAGAGATGCGGCCATTATTCGTTTGGTATTCGGTATTTGTCACTATCACTATTCCTATTTGCCCGAATTATTCGGTTTTGGTGCCGAATATATTCGGTTCGAGTATTTATATTTACTTGGCTACATAACACGGTATAGAACTGAAGTATGAAACTTTTTGTAAGATTTATATTATATTAAAGGTAAAATGAATGCTGCGATTTTATATAGTCAACACTACATACATATACTAATATTTATAATTAATTAATGTTAAATTATGGTGCACATTCCTCTTCGGCAAGAGTCTGTTGCGTATTTCTTTATATACATAGGTGCCTTGCTTGCATGATAATCGTTCGCTGTTCACACTGACAGACACTCTGGCTGAACAAAAACAATTAGAATTCTATTCTATTTAATCCATCTAGATATATTACAGCAAAAAATGTGTAAAGCTAATAATTCGGTCGAATATCCGATTCGGTTAAGTTTCAACCGAATACTATTAATCGGTGACACCACTATTCGACGCATCTCTAATAATAATATATTAATAATTTTGTACGTAATCGGTACGTTTGCCTGTGTGGAGGTGTGACTAGGTATCGAATGAAAAGTATCGATACTTACTCGAATCAAATAGTTTTAAAATATCTCATCGTAGTCATCATTTTTATATATTTTTAAGAGCAGATTTGGTACTATTAAGATAGTCAATAGCAATACTCTGTATACGGAAGAAAAAGAGCACCATCGCTTTAAGATTTTGTCGGCAGCGCTTTCTCCAGATAGATCTTTGACTACATAAAATTATTAGGTGTTAGTTACCAATGCTTATTACCATACGGATTTCAGTCGGATTTTTTTTATTAGATAATTTTCAGACACCTCACCGCACACTAAACACTCGAGCGCGCGAGTTTTTTTTTTGTCACTCTTCAGTGAGTTATACAACTAATGACTCGCATCTAAAGTATCATATGCGTAAATTATCGAGTGAGCGGAGTTTAATTAGGTCGTGTCGTCACGTCCGCAGGTGTGACGTGATAATAAACATATTCGAGGACGCGACCCGCGTGTCCGTGTGCGAGCAGCAGTGCGCCGCGTGCGGGGCGCAGCAGGTCACCGTCGAGTACAAGGCGGACCGGACCAAGTTGCCCGCCGCGCTCACCGAGATGACCGCGTGCCTCTACTGCGAGCCGAGCTTCAGTGCACTGGTCAGTTGTATTGTTCGTGTTGTCTATATTGTTCGTATTGTCTACGTTGTTCGTATTGTCTACATTGTTCGTATTGTCTATAGGCGGGGAATTCACAACACACTACACAGACTGGTTAGTTTATGTTCGACGCACTAAGCGAGTGGTTGTGTTATCGGTGAATATTCCAACTCAGTATTAATAAATCTCTTTGCTTTTAATCTTCCATAAAGAAGGATATTTTTTATTTTAATTTGAATGGTTGGAAGTCCTCAACTGTGCGATTTTATAGAAGTTTCTTGTCTCGCACAGTCAAACTCTGGAACAGTTTGTCGCCAGCGGTATTTCCAGATCGATACGACCTTCAAACTTTCAAGCATAGGGCGTATTCGTCCCTCAAAGGCCGGTCGCTTGTAGCTCCTCTGGTGTTGCAGGTGTCCATGGGCGACGGTAATCATTTACCATCGGGTGATCCGTATGTTCGTCTGCCCCCTATCCCATAAAAAAAATCATCCCGAAATTGTTTATTTTCGTTAAAACTTATTTCGTTTCACGTTACCTACAAATTTCTTCATAAACGACGTCATAGAATAAATGCAGCAGCAACTGATGCTATTTTCCTCCGTTTCGTAGCCATTGTAATATGCACTGATAACACGACCAGTCGCTTAGCGCGTCGAACACTAACTGACGAGTCTCTGTAGTGTGTTGTGAACGAATTAAGCTCATGTGTAGTTAGCAAATTTTTTGCAACTATTTTGTACCAGTTAAAATTTAGTTAAAAATCTTCTTAGTTAATGAGGAAGTATTTAAAAAAACATCAGTTCCCGAAATCAAAGTGGAAGTCTTTCTACATGGTATTACCAAGAACAACACATTAAAAGTTTCAGACAATTCCGTAAGGTATGTCGTAATATAAAATAAATATAAAAGAGGTCCCTTACCACAGACTAATATAAAGAATTGTGTTAAAGTTAAAGTGGACGGTGACACACACAGATGTGCAATGCTAAAGTTTTATTTGAGTAATACAGAAAAAATGAGTGAGGGATTTTATATATACGAGCCAAATAACAATACGCTCCACCTACACAGTGTAAAGTGTGCAAAAATGGAATTAAAGTATATATTTTTCTATTAGTGTCTGTGTAGTATGATAAAAAAAATCGCGGCATACTGACTTGTTGTCTGTTTGTTTGCATCGAATAAGCTCCGAAACTATAGAACCGATTTTAAAAATTCTACCTACGGGTAGCCACATCATATGCCATGAACATAGGCTATATTTTATCCCCAAAAATAGTAAATAAAGGTATGAAAATGGAAACGGAACTTTGTATGGTCAATTAAAACGTTACCATATTAACCATTGTCATTGTAATTATATCCGTGTCGTGATATGTTTCGATATCCAAATAAACAGTTCCCACGAGGGCACGCGGGCGAAGCCGCCGGCGGATGGCTAGTATTAGATATTTCTCTTGCAATCGTTCAGGTGGAGAAACACCGCGCGGTTGTATCTCGCGCGCCGTCCGCTAGAGGGCGCGGCACTCGGGCGAGACCGAACAAACACCGCAACAAACAGCCCAAGGACAAGATGGCGCAACTGGCCGCTTACTTCGTATAACATACACTAGACACTGTTGATCTATTCGAATAGATACATAACACCGGCGATAGATTATATAACGGAAACAATATAAACGGTTGAGCACACAATGTTAGGCCCTATTTCCATGTGTTAAGATTCATAATAACACTACAGAGACATGATCACATCTGTATACTTCATGATGTATCTTCTTCATGAATATTATTAGAAAAAGGACATTTGTGATAAAAAAAATCGTGGTTTAATTACCGCACATTAAAGAGTCAACAAACCCGTTTATATCAGTTCTGAAAAAAAAACAGTCGTATACAAATTACGAGTATAGAAATAAGTAAGAAATCTCAACTCTATCGTCAAAGCAAGGAGTAGAATCAACAGAGCGTCATTTGTTATAATTGGATTAGACATTAAGGTTTGAAATTGTTTAATTCGCAACTTATTACGTGTTTGCTTTCTAAATTTTTTGATAATATCTAAGTATTAAGATGATCTATTGTAAAATACGAAATCGTCAAGTTTCAAAATTATATATTAGTCCTCGTAGTCTCATGAGCATAGGTAAGTATAACACATATTAACAATGTCACCGATAAGTGAATGTAACTTATATTTATAAGTTTTGTATTTATTAATCATTTTTAAGGTGTAATAAATTCATATTTACTGCAAGATATTTCTGTTGTTTTCTCTTCGTTCATATTGGAATGGGTCAACTGTAACTGAAGTATCCAGTGCAAATAGAATTTTAAAATGGGGCGGTGCTTCCTGAATGGTCGTCATAAAATATTATAGGTCAATTATGCCATTATTGCTTTTACAAAATTATATATCACCACACTAACCTTTATATATAAAATTTGTGATCTGTCCATCTATTTTCTATAACGCTATAAAGTAAAGCTGAATTCACTCTTAAGTAAATCACTTTAAGGTTGATGTTTGGGGGACTCGCTTTGCAATATCCGCGATGTAATTCGTAATGTAGAGCGTTTAAATAATATGGATCGCTAATAATGCAACCTGTCATGTGTGAATGAAACTACAAGTAAGTCAGTATACGTATGAATTAAACAGGTGTACGTTACGCGTAGTTCGGCTGTCGGAGTGATCAAGTAAATTGAGCTTTATCGCGTTTGCATAAGAGTGAAATTCGCTTTGACTTTATAGCATTGTGGTAATAACTAGTTATCGGCGATTGGCGATCTGATAGCGGTTGCGTTACGTGATTTAAAAAACGTGATTCAAATCAGCTGCCAGTACTTATTTATTTATTTATTATTCTTGGAAAACCAACAGCTAAACAAACATGATAGATTTTAGCATAACAAACATTAAGCCAATTATAGGTTTCCACATACAGAAAATAATAAGGTTTAATTTCATTAATAAAAGAAATTATGATAGTTGTCGAATCAAGTGAGCACTTCGGTATGCCTTCGGTTTTTTCGTTGTATATTTAAGACAGCCTTTGACATAATAAAGAGATCTAAAAACTCCTCAGGAAGCTATCTGGAAGGGGGAAAACAAGCGTGTAGTTCAGTAAGTGAACGGAGGCTGCTCGATTTGTTGGGTTTAGTTGGCTCCATAATGGATCCCTGGAGGCATTACACATTGCTTGGTCACAAAAATATGAGACTAGAGTATTCAATTTAAATAGTCATAGCGGTAAAATACTTTGTTGTATTTGCCAATTTGTTAATTCATTCCACTTTATGATACCCTAGAGTGTTGACGACTTTGCAGGGTGTCAAAAGTTTTATTCACCACCAGCCCTTTTACTGCAGGGGCTCAGGCCTTCCTTATGGATGGTTAAGGAGGATGGGCCTTGATTCTCCACGCTGGCCCAATGCGGATTGGAGGATATTAACGACTGCAAATGCAGCCGGGACCAACGGCTTAACGTGCCTTCCGAAGCACGGAGTAGCTAAAGATAATAATTTTTTGTCACCCATCCCGTGACCGACCCTTGCGAAAGTTGCTTAACGACTACGATCGCAGGCCGCGGCGCTTATCCACTACGCCACCGAGCTACTCACAAAATAATAAATAAATAAACAAAAGTTTTATTCATTCAATTCAAAGTATTATTCATTAATTATCTCTTAAACCATTATATTACTGTGGCCATTCATCGCCGCTATGCCCCATATTGACAAGAGATTAAATGATGACCTGTAAAGTTTTTAAGAATTTATTATAAGTACAGAGTTCTAGCTGTGGTGCTGCCCGATTGACGTCAGTTCAGCAGCGCCATAAAAACTTCGCGTATGTCCGAAACTATATAATTTGGACTAGGTCGACCAAAAACTCATTGCAAACTCAAAGAGAATGGCGGTGCTAGCCTGACGCACACGTTTTTTACACCTTGAAACAAGATACGTAGCAACAAGGCATGCAATAAAAGCCTGATATAATAAAAAGGTATAATTAAAACCAAGCGTTTTATTGAAGTCTTCATTTTATTGTGAAGTTTGTCACCTAGTATAATGTATATGTATAGTACGACATAAGCTTACAATATTACTGTATTTCTCCTTATTATATTAAATGTTACACCATGTCTGTTTTGTATTAGTAACAGGAGTGAACAATAGTGATACTTAGCAACATAAAAGTTGGGTTAGACTTGTGGCGTAGCTAGTGTGAGTGTCAACAGATATGGAAATGGCGGATCGGTTATTTCTTTAATCATTAATCACAGTGATTGTAGTATAATTATGAGTCGAATTCCCATCTGCTACAGACTGTCACTGTCTCATATAAACCCCAATGTGATTTTCATCGTTTATCATAACTCGTATACGGTTTTTATTTGTAAAACACCCTAAAGCATCCTGACAAACGACACCATAAACAACAACATTGGATCTACCAGTTCTGATAATACGCAAAAATAAATTTTTTACCGATTTATTGTTGCCGCAACACCGGTTAAAGCATAGATGATATACAGGTACGTCACACAGATCGCGAGTGAAGCATCCTCCTTTCGTTTATGATTAAAGCAGAGATGAATGAATGTAACATTATAATTAAAACTTGAAAAAAAAAAGTTTTTTTGTTTAATGTTCGAATTCGTATATCAAACGTTGTTTTTTTATGATGTTTGCGATCTATTTGTGCGAGGTAGATGGTGTTTCTATAAATAACCCTGTATATGGCGCGAATCAGGACTGGAACGATAACAAGAGTAAACATATTACCGCTTCTATTAGGATATTTCATTTTCAGTAATAATCTATATATATTGATTTGATTCTTTTCATTCACCTACTTCTTGCTCACTCTAGCTGCGCCACAGATTTAAAGATGATACTTTACAAAGTTTATTCTTACAGTATCAAATCCATACAGTGTATTTATCGCATAAAGATAATATTATAAAAACCTCCGATCAACGTCTGAAAGAATTAAAAGCAATATTATAGGCCCGTGTCACGTGAGAGACACAACGGAACCGAATTTAAGCTCTATTTTTGGAAATAAACGGCGCGGAGACGCGGGTATTATTAAATATTAACGGTTTCACGTGACCATAAGTAACGTACTCATTGTCTGTTAACAAGTAATTGATATATGTGCAGGAAAACGTAATTTTATCTGGTTTAGGCCAGTTACAAAAATTTTTAAATCACATAAACAACTATGAAGACCAAGCGACTGTCAGCAAAGGGATAGGGATCTGATCGATATATTTATTGCTTCGTCAGTGCACACGAGGGCAATCTTTTAGTTTTCTTTGTATGTATGCTTGTGATAATAATTTAAATTAGTAGTAATCTATAGATACTTCATAACGTTCATAAAGTTAAAAGTAACTGTATACGTTGTCATTTAAAAACCTGCTAATAATTTATGGACTTTTATTAGTAACTGAATGTAAGCGGGACAATAACCCTATATAAATATTATCATAAAACCACAGAGTATCTATCTAGTTTGGTAATCTATTAGAATGTAATAAATTTGTTTTTTTTTTCAGCTGTAATTTAATGGGATGAGAAAATAATAATTTAATGATGACCAATTAAGAATCAATGTTCCGAAAGTTTAAGGAACATGAAATATAATTAAGTCAGTAATTTATGTACTTAAACGAAGTTCAGCCCTGCAATTCTGTAATATTCAAAACCAAACTCTTCAAAAAGCGGCATCCGCTCAACCTCGAATTGGTTAATAACGTTTCGTGGCATAAGTGAAGTGAGTTCCGAAATGACATAGGAATAGAATATATGTGACACGTATATACAATCAATTTTTTTTGTATTTGCGTGTTACACGGGTTTCAATCAATTAAAATTTATTTTCAACAGCAAATATATAACGTCAAAGTTCAATTTAAAGAAGAATAATAATAAAAGAGATGATCATATTTTTTTAATTCATGGTATTTTGTATAACTTGCATTATGTACCTATTGAAAATTATTTTAACCATTGTCTGGGCAGACACGGACATAGAAAGCAGTCGAGATTTATAAAATAAATAGAAAATGTTGCCTGCATAAACTTTCTTCTTCACATTAATGTTATTATTAATTTTTTATAAATTAATAATTTTATTTAATTTTTTAGTACACTTTATACTTTTATTATTTTGTCGATGAGCGTTTTGAAAATAAAAATAAACATAAATTGTGAATACATTTTTATCATTTTAAAAATACACTATTCGTACCTACTTATATTATCTTTTAATAATTAAAACAGGCGCGTGGCAGTTTATTTTACTTATTAAAAAATCGAGCCCTAACCACATACCGGTTTAATAAATAATAAAATTAATTACCTAACTGCGTTGATATGCTTAGAATATCTCACAACTTTCAAATAAACCGTTTTTCTTTCGAGCAAACGAATTAATTTATGCGACAAATAAATTTTTAATATTAAATTTATATTATAATAAGTTAGACTGAGAGAATCCGGTTAATAAATGGAACCGGTTATTTGTATCACGCCACGAGCGATGAGCACTTGTGTGTGAAGTATTTGAGGGGAATGTAAAAAAAAAAAGATACAACTGTTGATTGTTCACCAGTCAGGTCAGGAACAGTCTTATACGTGGTGAACCATTTTTTCTAGAAAATGTCAATAGTGCTCAACATTCGTGTCATATGACATATACTATATCATTATATCACTGACATGAAAATAGTTTAGATTTAAAGCAGAAAATTAAACTATAAGTATACATAAAAATCAGACACCACATAATAACATATAATTTGAATAAAATAAAACTGAATTTTCACAATTTTATTACGTCTTTTATGAAGATGCCAGTTTAGTAATAAGTCTCCCTTTCAGCTGGGAAGTGATATAGTTCAGGGTACTGAATTTGAATCAGTCAGACGCTTTTCAAACGTGACTTGGCGTGTAAGATTTAGCAGCGTTGTAGAATCAGGCGTAACTATTGTTACTATGTAGATATGTATAAGTATTAAGAGAACACTATATTCAGCTAACTAAGCAAACCGACAGAAGTAGTATTTCTGTTTTATACATAATTTTGAAGTTAAAGTAACGCTTTTTAAGAAGGCGTGTCAGCTAAACCAAACTTTCTATTGGTTTTGACTTTCTATTGGTATCTATGTAAGAGTTCTAGAATTGTCTAAAACCGTCTTGTTCAATTTCAATAACTGTTTGCCAGTAATTAATCATAAATTGTTTTTATTCTCAATACGTCGTCCTCTGTTTCTATGATTTCGTCTCGTATACTTAACTCTGGGAATTCCAGCATAATTTGTTTTGATTTTAAAAAGTTGTCTATATAACTTGATCCGGTTCGAATCTAGTAGATTTTTTGTCCCCGAGTATCTTACCAAAATGAAAAGTTTTATTTATACAGATGAATAAATTTAAGGAATGCGGTTTATAATTTATAACATACATATGTTGTCATATCATCCTACTTTAATAATAATGCCCCTACTAATTGTTTATAATTCTAATGACAATGCAAGAACTATGTTTATACTGTACATTTGATATTTTCATATAAATATATTAATGAGATTCATATAATTTAAAAATATTAAATGTACAGGTGTATGTCCCCTTTTCACTATACTATTATATTAATTTTAATCTCACTGATTTTGATAACATAATCGTTATTTTCTAATCTAAGCATTATATACTTATAGCGAATATTTACACTTCAATACCGCGTAATAATAGTTACCCACAATAATTTATCTAATGCGTAAGCAATTTTTTTTGCTATTTATTGTTCTTGCGAATTTTACGACTTATTACATTTGTACCTACTAAGTATAATATAAAGTTTCGAGTTCTTCTTTAAGACACTTTATCTAATATCTTATCGATAACGAATAAGTTAAACAAATTATATTTAAAATTCGTTTTTTACCACTTATAGTTTATAATTATGACAAAGAATCACATTATAATTTACAAATTATTTATCTAAACAATAAAGTATATAAAAAAGATACGTATCAAAACAGAATATGTGTATGTACTTACTTTCATATTATAAGCGACGTCGCTAACGAATTTTAAATATAGAACGCGATGACTATCGAGTAAATCTCACTGAGTATTTGAATTGATATTGAACATATTGATTGATGCACGCCTTTGTACTATATATAATGTGTATATATTAACGACGTAGCCGAGGGGACGCTCGTCCGACGCTACAATTAAAACATTTATTCTCACTATATGGTCCGAATTTAATATGAATTTATACATTAAACTCTGCAACTTCATTTGTCGTAACATGGACCCGCACACAATTTACAGATTGTCCATTAGCTACAGGTACCTACAGTGAGGCCAGCTCATATATATATTTTTTTATATTCAATTAAATTCACTTAATGATAATTCGATATACTTTATACCATACCCCAACATCAAACAATTTGAACAAATTAAAAACTATTACGCGCGTAATCAAACAAACGGTTAATATAATTACCATTAAAATCCAAAGTATTTAATTTTATTTAATAATAAGAGTCTTATTGTCTTCAAAAAGCAATTATGCTTTACGATAAACACGTCTATTTTATTAAATTATATACATTAATTAATTAGATTTATAGTGATAATAATTTTTTGATATTGGAAAATGGTATAAATTAATTTTTAATTTAATGTAGTTAGACAATATTAGATTTAATAATATTTTATCGTAAATAACGTGAATAGTAGTGAATAAGCTATAATTAGCTTACAAGTATTATATTGAGCCACTGAAGTAGGTATATAATATATATACTATATTTAAATTTTCACTATTTAAAGCTCTTAGTTTTTCATTTAATACAAGTACTACACTTGCTTAGAACTAATGCCCATTGTGCATAACGATGTACCAAATGTTTATTCAATCAGTTAAAAATAGCACTTTGTAAATAAAAAGATATTATTTATAAATGATGAACGGAATATTATAATGATTTATTACTGGGTAACGTAATTATGTAGTACTAAATTTTCTGTTTGAATATTTCTAATATTGCACTGTGGGCTGTTATATGGTGTTTAGATTTAACGACTAGAAAAAATGTTATTGGCTAAAAATAAAATAATAAATAAGCTTCGCCTTTGGCAATTTAGCGTTAGGGTCATTCCCGTTAGCGTTAGGTCGGTCGGGTCTTATGGAAATATCCTCAACATACTCCACAGAGTCAGTTTGAAAAGTCACTTCGATATTCACTGCACTAATAATTATTAGTACTAAATTTGTTCGTCCAAATCACTGTTTCAGAAGAAGTTCAAAGAATTCACTCACTTCGACGTAACAACACCAGGTCGTGATAGCAATGGCAATGAAAATTGGTAGCGCCGATATTATTATTGTTTATATTAATTTAAATGGTCCACACTTGAACTTTCTCCGCTATAACGCACCAGCTAGCCTGATCATAGAACGAGGAGACGACGTGGAGACTTTCGACGTATTTCTCTATGAGCTGATCCAATTCCCCTCTCTTGAAGACGTGGTAGTATCTATGGTAGGTTACAGCGCCGCCTTCTGAAGGAAGGCTGTCGGATCCGTCGCTCAAAGAAGGCAGTAGCGGCGCGTGCGGTATCGCTCTGGTCTGAACAGGTGGAGCATTCGTTGCGTCTTCAGACGAGGATCGAGTCTCTATCAATTTTCTTTCTTTCGAGCATTCACTGCAAGAGGGCAGAGAAGCCAAACTAGCACATCCCAAAGACGCTGTACTACCAGTTTTGTCTCGTCTACTCCAATCGCTACCTGCGGAGGTGTCGCTGGACTCTATCGAGAACCCAGACTTTAAAGGCGCCGTGCTCGCACTAGACCGTGACGTGACCGATTCAGGACTTATCTCCATTTTGTCCAAATCGCTGGAATCCGTCGATTGTCCGACCTTTAAAGAAGATCTCTTGTCTGTGCTGGTACATAACGAGTCAACGCTAATTTCTGATTCTAATGAGTAGCCAGTCTCTAATGATTGGCTCGTGTCGTAAGCACCAGAGTCAATTGTTATCTCCGGATTCCCGTTACTAGAACATATAGCACTATCGTCGTCTGGATTTTTCGTGTCCGTATCTGGCAGCTTCTCCTCTGTAGATATAGGTTTAATATTGTATTGAATATTGGCACAATTATTAAGATAAATGTCTTCTTCACTCGTCACCTTCATTGACTTTTTCAATTCTCTATACTTATTTATAATAGGATCCACATCCTTCGATCTCTTTTTGCTTTTAATTTTAGAGCCACATTTAGGAAACAGTTTGTTGATGTCAGTCTCTTGAACGTCGCTTGCACCTACTATGTATTTAGTTCGATCCTGCATTTCGGTGTTCAGTTTATTCAGACCTTGCAGGTCGCTATTTATTTTATTAGCATAGGGGTCTTCTAAATGTTGTAAACTATTGGAAAGCTCGTCTAATATTTTTTGGGTGTTCCTGTCCTCTTCTTCACGTTTCAGTCTCAGTGAAATACTTTTTTCACTGCTGCTACTGCTTGGCAGATCGAAATCTTCTTCGTTTATTCGTTTTGAATATTGATCGATCTCCTGCAATAATTTTTCACTAAGTTTCTCAGCAAATTCCGTCAAATGTTGCCCTCGATCTTGTTGATCGTTTACCCAATCTTCTTCCTTCGCTATCATATCCGACTTGCAAGTTATGAGTGGTTCATTCTGTATTCGATTGAAGCTTTCAGATTTAGAAATAGATTTTTCCGAATCCGTACTGGATATTGACACTGAATCATAAGGGAATCGCGTGGGACTTCTGTGATTTCTGCTTAAATTTTCGTCGAGCGAACGTCCTTCGGGTCTATTTGGTGAAAGTCTGTTTAGACTCCACGTAGAGTTACTGGTGCTACCTTGTTTCGGTGAACGATCCTTTGATCTTCTACCAGGTGAAAGTCTTTCCAAACTCGACGTGCTTCCGCTAGAACTCGTATGCGATTGGGACCTCGATTTGTCTTCTAATATTCTCAGATCACCGGGAGAAAGTTTATTCAGGCTCCAGTTACTACTGCTGCTGCTACTTGAAGCTCCCTGAATGATGGCAAGGGCTTCACCGCCTTCCAATTTATCTAAATGTTTCCTTTTTGACCGCGGGCTTGATTGTATTACTGCTTCACACGTCTCATCTAACGAGTGTGCAACTTCAGCTGCAGCTTCGATTAAGCTTTGTGGCGCTTGGGGTGTTTTCTCTTTCTTTGGTTCTATTATTGTTGCTGGCGGCGTTGGTAAGTCTGTAACAAGATAACGATTAATGAAATTATATATGATAGGTGAAAATGGCCGTATCTAGTACGTACGTGTTTGCTAAAATATGTCAGCATTCGTACAACTTTTACTGAATTTTATTGCCTTTTGGCAATAACATTTTCGTAGTATGTCAGGAGGTGCTAAGCCGCAACTGTATAACTCATAATGAAAATAATTTGTTTCTATGAAATATAACTTTAATGTGTTTTAAAAGTTAAATGAACTGCGCACTTTAACTTTCTAACAAATATATGGTGAGAACAATAACAATTTTTAAAAGTTATAATTATGTGATCTTTTTTCATAGTAATTAACCAACGTTAATGTGTTTAGAATACACATATTTAGAAGGTTTTAGTAGGGTACGTATGACCCTTTTGGTTAGTTGTAGAAATACACTTTTTGCTACTGACAATTTTTCTTACCTTTCTTTTGTGCTGCTTTGCGTAATTCCTCGGGTACGACGCTAATGACACTGTCCACTGAATCTGGCGATGAAACACCACTCGAGTCACTGTCCATATCATCCACGGCTGGATTAAAAAGCTCTAACGACATTAACGTCGGTCGACTTTTAGCAATAGGCTCGGCTTTACTGGTGCTTCGTACGATCGGAAATGGTGGTCTCCTATTTAAATTTACCGATGGGATACCTTTATTGAGCATTTCTTTGATCTGTCTTATTCTCTCTTTTCGTTTTCGTTCAGCCACCCTGGAGTCTAAGCTATCTGCTATTGGAGATTTATTAGATTCCTTTGGCTTAAACTGTGGTATTTCCGGCAACTCTGCTACGGTCTGTAATGTGATTTTCGGATATGGCTTTATATCTTGAAGTACTACTCGAGGCTTCAGTTGATTAGTTTCGGCGGTTAATTTGTGTATTTCCTCTATGTCTTTATTTATTTCTGCCAAAAGTTCCTTCGTCACTTCTGTCGGAGTAGGAGATTCTTCTTCTTCTTTGATAGGTGGTATAGGGTCGACTTCTTCAAAAACTTCCATGGAAATGTTTTTATTCATGATCGGGATGATTTCTGGTTTTATGGTACTGTCGTCTGACTCTGACTTTGGAGGAGAATTCGGTTGGCTTTTAGACTGAGGTTTTATGGGACTGGCGCAAATTGAAGTAGTAGAGTAATTTTTCAAACTGTACTGTGCGACTAAAATTTTATTGACCGTCGTAGGCGTTTGAACGGCGTTCGGTGACGCTGGTGGACGAATAAGTGGGAAAGCTTGTTTTATTCTCGGGGACGGCAGCCCAGGGGAGCTCTTCATTCTAGGTGATGTCGGTACTGATGATACTTTGAGTCTCGGTGAAGTTGGGCCGGGGGAAAGAGGCGTCGGCGACAGAGGATCACCGGAGCCATCCGCTTTCGGTACGTATATCACAGATGCGAAACTATCCTCTGAATCGACACTCGTATCACTCTGAAGGCTACTATCTTTCGAGGAATCGGAGCCGTCTTCCCGAGAATGCCGCCGCTCCGGGTAAGGTTTATCGGTCGCGATGTTATTGTCGCTCGGCGTAGGAACTTCAGGTACCGGGCCGTGGTTCTTCCATCCTTGCAGCATTCGCACGAACACTGTCACCTTATCTATATTCGTTGTCGACGTCTTAAATTTACTAGTGAGGCCGTTTTTGAGTGACTGAAACTTTTTCGCGGTAGTGGCTGATGTCGAGAATATCGAGTCGCGGATAGTGTCCAACGCCCCCGGTCTCCGATACAGATACTCCTCGTTGAGGGACGCCTGCTTCTGTATGTTCTTCCTGAGGCGCTCCTTCTCTCTCAATCTATCTGCGGACATCAAGTCCTCGTTCAGCGAAGTCTGCTTGAACACGCCCGGCTTCTTCGACTCCAATCTGTACGTGTGTATTTTGAAATTTGGCATCTCGTCGACCATGCTCTTCATGTCGGTCGGTTTATCCGAGTCTTCGGCGTCGTCCTCGTTGATCGATTTCTTCTGTTTGACGAGGCGCGGCTTCTTCCTTGGTTCGGTCGTCTCCGGAGGAGGTCGCGGCGGTGGCGGGTCGTCATCTCCCGTCAAACTCGGCAAACTCGATCGGGATCGGACGAGGGCGCGTCGTTCCACGTCGGCGATATCAGTTAGACTTCTCGATTTGACGGCGGAAGTTTCTGATGATCGAGGTATGAGTCTGGGTGGTAGAGGTTCATCGAGGCGGCGTAGTTCTATAGGTAAGTCAGCGGCGGGGGGCTCGGGGCGGACGCAGGGGCGGGGTGGCCCGCGCGCGAGCCCCCACGACGGCAGGAACGAGCGGCGCCCCGCGAGCCGCTGCAGCGCTCTACGGACGAACGAGTAGCAGGTTTCGTTGGGCGACGAGAGTGACGACGAGCCCGGGGAGACGTCGCGGTTTTTCCAAGGGTGTCTGGGGAAATGGGTTTCGTTTACTCACTACGGTATGGACGTCGGTCTATCTGTTATATATATAGAACATTTTAGCGAATTTATGAATGAATTATTTTCATATAAAGTGTGTAATAATTATTATGTGCCAGGACAAGTATAATGAATGACTTTTACTATTGGAATAATACTGAATTCATGAAAAAACAGACTGTTTCATGGTGACAGCGATTGTAGGTATAACAATTTTGTATTAATGCAATTTTTATTTTAATGTATTAATCTAATTATTTTGGTTTCTTTCAGTTTCGAAATAGAATAACGTTAACGTTTGAATAGCTTGAGTTAAGTATGGCTGTCGGAGCTTATTACTTATTTGATACTTACTGATCGTTATCGACTGAGAGGAATCGAGGTGCTGGTGTTGGAGGGCACAAAGTCGCTGGTCGATGCCATGGAATGAGGACGTCCTACAACCAAAAAAATAAATCATTGAATACACGGTGTATTCTAGCCAAAACAATACACCTACAACAGTTTATCAGGTAACTACAAAGTGTAACAATTCCGAAATCAGTATCTATTGAAAGGCTGTTTGAAAAGGAACCGATTACGACTTCTCTTCACCCATCTCATGATCAGGCTTCGCAGTAGTTGTTTAACATTTACAATTGCAGAAGGAACTGCACGATTCACAATGCAACCGATCTAGAAATATTTTCTCCACGACATTTCTAACTAAATTCTATAACATTTGTTGCTGTCATAATAAGTCTGCGTATACCTAATGATTGCCAGTAGATGAATTGAAATTGACCTGTGAGTGAAAGTTCCGGCCTTCGTGCTCCATAGCCCAAACGGTGAGCAGGAGCCGCCCTCCTATCCTGGTGACCCTGGCCAGTTCCCTGAGTGCCATGGCCCGCCTCTCGACCGTCGCGAAGTGATGCACCACCGCGATCGAGAGCACGGCGTCGAACGACTCGTCGCGGAACGGCAGACATAAGTTGTCGCACGCCACCACCTGCAGAAGCAGCAGTTATTAATTGTTTATATAAAATCTAGAATAATCTTATCATATAATCACATTCCCTTGGAAATGCCAACCAAATTGAAGCTAGTCTCGACGCTCTATGGAAGGAGGGTGGGATTTGATAGATCATCCAGTATTCAGCATATATGTAAAGGCAAATAAACTTAATTCTTTAAATTTGGTTGTTTTGGTTTGATCCGTTGGTGAGACGGAATCTTTGCCTTTGCCTTTACTCTTTTAGTTGGTATTATTGTACGTTGTTGGTACAGTAGGGTTTGGGAGATACATTCGCCTTATAATTATTATTGCATTTAATAAATTTTCCATTCGCAATGCTGTATTACTAATTATATACTATATATAAGCTATAACAAAATATAAAATATTTTTGTCGGCTGCTTGGGTGTGCTAGTGCATCAATAATTTATCAGTTTTCGTAAGGTGACGGATAGTTCAATTGGTAAGAGCAGTCGCACGATAAGTCATACGTTATATCTATAATGTCTTCACGCCGAATCCGTTGCGGTGGGTAAAGGACCAAGAGCACAAAGCATGTTCATTACTCTTTTCATACGTGTTTGTGCTTTTTATAGCGACTTGCATCACATTCAAAGCACACGATCGAAGGTGTCATCTTGACCTTCCAGGGCTTCTAAATTTAAATACACATTAATTTATTTCAACACAGATACAGGACACAGTATATGTTATTACAAAATAATGACAATAGACAACAGCCCGGTTGGGAAACAATAATTATGACATATCATAATAATCATACTTTCGCATGTCGCACACATCGTGTTTCAGACTTAGCATAGCATTACTGTACTAAAAAGGGTGATTATTAATAAGTATATTAATTAATAATAACAAAAATATATTGTTCAATCATAAGAAAAGAAAATTAAAATATAAATTAATAAATTAGCAATTGAAAATAATAATAATAATAAACACTGATTAAATTTAATACCTACAAATAAAATTGTAGGGCTCTCGCCATCGGTGACTAGAACAGATCACATGATAGTAGAAAAGAAAATTACATCACAACACCTAGTAAAACACAATTAGAAATGTCATTAGTTGAAAGCGGCATTACCGATACAAATTTTCAAATTGAGAACATTACAAAACTTAATAGGCATTTGTGCAATTGACCGACAACCGACCGAAGTCTATTCTTTCGCATTGCATATCAGTTTTATAATTTTTCATGCAGCATTCTTTTCATATTTCGGAAACAACGATGCATGTCTCAATTATTTTCTTTTGCAAGAGCTTCGAAGACCATGTCCGACAAACGCAAAGATTTAAGTACGCGAAAGCCGCCCTTATTATTAAGGTAGCATTCTCTTCCACAATTACCACCCTTGGCCAAAAGAAACTGCGGTATTTGTACATCAAATTAATAGTACCAGGCCTAGTACATAAAAAGAAGAAGAATAAATTACATTTATAAAAGTAAATACAAATTGAAACAGTAAATCTAAAAAGTGAAACAATATAGAATCGAGTAATAGTCTCTGACTCGGACTATTACTCAATTCACTTTCGTTCAGAGTTTAGAAATCCAGTTTGTTGAAACGTTCGTTGATTAGTTTAATGAAAGAGTTCCCGCTATCGCACGCATCCGACGTGCATCTGATGTATACATATCTCTATGGTAACATACTTCATTATTGTGGTGGCGCGCGTGCGCCGTGAGCCGCGTGCACCGGTCGCCGCCCACCGTGTACACGGACGGGTTCACGCTCAGGTACTTCCCGTTGCCGCAGCCTGTAATTAAGTTAAACTTTACATTCACTTTATTCAAATTGGTTGCATCAATGCATCCATTTTGAACAAGTAGTCCATTATTATTTTCTTACTACGTTCGGGATAAAATGGAAACTGCATACTTTATATAGAACACATTTACAGAAAAATATTGCAATGTCAATGTATCTAGAACTGTTTTGAAAATACAAATCAATCTATTATAAAAATCACCTATCAAAGTGGGTGAACATTTAAACATTATATAATTAAGCCCTGAAATTACGGGGAAGATTTTAAAAGATTTAATAAGTACCTACGGGAAGCTACATACGCGGTTTACATAATATACGCGGGCGAACTCGCGGGCACATCTAGTTAGTTATTTAGTCAGAATATTCCGACACTAAAATCATCAAACTATAAAACACTGGCGCCATCTGTTCGAAGTAAAAAATTGTGAAGTTTCACCTTAAAATGATGGGTTAGTTTTTGGCTGTAGAGTCATGTGGGAGAAAATGTGAAAATAGGACATAAGACATTAAAGGAATTTGAGACAAATCGGTAAATTCATACAGGACAGTCGAGTTTTGAAGGGGTACTGAGAAAACTGGTTGGCGCTACCGTGCTTCAGTTTTTTTTTTCAATGAGTAAGTATTAAAAAAAAAGACAGCACTAAAAAAGCACCTAAACTAGATGGCGACTCTAGCAAAAGTTGATTTTTGCAGGAAACGAATGGACCAAAGTCAGTCGTTCCCTTTCACTAACATATAAAAAAACTGAAATTTGTAATGTTCGAAACTTACATATCAACACAAATACGAAAAAGTACAAATAGAATATGAGTTTTTTTATTGAGTTTTGAAAACTAATTTACTTTTAAATATGAAATAAAACCGGAAAGGTTGTCATGGAGAAATCAAGAACGTATTCGGGAACTATTGTTTTCAAATACTTCCTTATTACTAGATATACGGATGCCTATTCACTGTGCACATTAAAAAGGTTGCATATTAAAAATGAAACAAAGTAATAAAATGTAACGAGTATGTACTTTCTACCTTTTTTCCCATAATTTCTGTCAAAGTGAGTAAATAAACAAATAAATGCATAGAGTTTTCATATAAATGTGAAAAAATTTCTTTCTAATCCAGAAAGTCTACTGTTTGTCCTCGAACGAAAATTCTTAAAATTATATCCATGAAGATATAATCAGTGCTTCGGAGGCAGTGTCCGGCATCGCCTCTGTTGCATTAGAAATTATCGAAAAAAGGGGTTTCTTTCTTTGGGGTCGCATAGCGTTTAGAATATAAACGAAATTTCGTTTTCGGAGAAACAGACTGAGTTAATCGGAATGTCGTTTCATTACACAGTGCTCTGAGTTAAATTGTTGAATCGATAGCTGACTTTGACATGGGCCCGTTTCGAATACGGTTCCCTAATTGATTTCGAAACTGCGGTATTTGGTGTGTTTGAAAACGCTAGTCACCTGCCTACGTACCGTAAAAACGGTAATTGAGGTGAAACTAATTTGAACACAGTTTTCTTAAAGATGAGTGATTTCATTTTTTTAAATTTCAATATAAGCTAATTAAAGCAATATTTTTAGAACCGGATACAAAGGTGTCATATTAATAGTGACACCTTTGTATCCTATTTATAGTTAATACTCTATTTTGTAGAGGTATAGCTAGCCTTTTAATTGAATGAAGTGAGTCGATAAGCTGAGTAGCAGAGTGATGATGACGTTTTAACTAGTTTATATAGTTATACTATAGCATAGGACTTCTAATTGAACTCAGACATTTTCTGTGGTCTGTGGGCATTCTCTATTGATAGAATGGTGAATGAATATTATAGGTGACTATTTTTCGAGAAACTTATAAATTAACTTATTGGCTTGATTTGTTGCCTATTCTAATGTAATGTTAATAATAATCCTAATAATTTAATCAGAGATATATGGCAGTGTTTTGTACAATTCATTGGAACTTGATTTAAAAAGATAGTTATGTATTGTATTGCGGCAACCTTTTTAAGTGAAGTGACTGTTGCCTCTCAATACATCTATGAGAATATTATGTACACAAGAAAACATTACGATTCCTTTACAAAAAAAGTAGTGTTCATAATCTTAACACAAGAAATAAAAATAAACTTGCCGTTCCAAGCTTCAGACTTCAAAAAACCAGAGGATAATTTCTGGGTTAATGTATTGCTATGTTCAATAAAGTTCCATAAAATGTAATTGACCTACCCATAAATAAATTTCAAATTCATGTAAAGAATATACTTATGACTAAAGGCTATTATAAAGTTGATGATTATTTTAAGGATCGCAATGCATGGAATTGATTGCCTTCGGTTTGTTCTATAAAGACTAATTATATGTTCAAGACTTTGAAACTTGTATTTATTATTGTGATAATACATATTATTTTGGTAATGACATGATTTATGTAAATGTCATTACTTATGATAAAAAGCTGGTAAGTTTCTTTCGCTTATTCTTTTTGTCAGCTAAAAGACGTCCTTGTTCAGTGGTAGGGGAAAAAATTTTTTTTTGGACGATTCAAAAGTGCTTGTAGTAGCCTACTTGAATAAAGATATTTTCATTTCATTTCATTTGATATTAATGACGTCATCGTACTAAACGAGTCTGCGAGTCGTTTATTTTTAGTTTATGAATATGAATATAAATAATTTATCAATGAAGATATTTTGAATGTTACCAATTAGTAAAAAAGGTGTAAAAGGAAACAGTTGCGATCTTCCTTTGTCATCCCACGAGTGACATTTACCTCCTCCACACATGTGATTTGCCCCTAATTATGTTATATCAACAAAGTACAGGATACCGTAGGTGGTGTGGGTGGTTATAAGTATTCTATAAAGGTCTCGTTTTGAATAATGTGTCAGGTCAATTTGCGAATAATTTATAATATATTTTATTTCACGATAACGTTGAAGAATACCGAGAATTCGGATTAATGTTCTACATGTTAACTCCTACGCTTATAACGATAGATACAGCGATGTGTTCTGAGATTCAACGCCCCGGGTGTGTATTATGGCTTATAAATTAACGCAAATAAACAAAAAAGTTTTAAACACGGTATATAGTTGAAATTAGTCTTTATTGTCATAAACATTAGTAAAAATAAAAGAATAAAAGAATAACAGATACAAATTAAAGAAAAATCTAAAAAGATAAAAAAAATGTCACTCGCAGATTGTCGCGTCCTGCCCCTTGCAATAATGGGCTAGGGTACAATATTTTGATACGTTTATGAATAGATTATTTCATAAATATATTATTGTAGTGCCACTAAGTAAACTCAATCTATACTAATATAATAAACAAGTAAAGTTTCTAACTTTGCTTGTCGGGGGTAATCTACGGTAATAGTGACACGACCATGAAAATTCTTTCAACTTCGGCAAGTTATAATATATGCGGGAGACATGGCAACGGACTGTCCTTGTAGGATACAGGATTCTTCTTATCCTCGTAAGATGAACCGCAGTATGTTTTACCAGGTAGGTCTTCCACATTAACCTGTCCTTTTAAGGGCAGGGTGTTTGGAGAGCCCTGGTTAAAAGGCTTAAGAAAGATATAATTTACGAGGCCAAAGTCGCGGGAACACTTGTCTACAACAACAACAGCTAGTCACTCATGGAAATGTAATGTTCTATAAAATCTTGTTTAATAATAATTAACTTTTCTATATATTTGTAGTGTTTTCTGATATTCTTTTAAATTTTTTCAATCATATTTGTTATATTATACACCAAAACCTTCCTAGCGATTTATCGAAAGTAACATAAATGTATGTGAAATAAAATTTTAGCGTTAAAACAATCAAACACCGTGGAGTCGTTTTGTAACAGATAATGATCTACATATCTTTAAACATGCATTTTACATTAGAAGAACACGCCTCACTGAAATTAAACGGAGCGAACGTAAACTTAAAATCATTAGTGTATATTAGAGCCTCGGGAGTCTAAGTGTGTACACAAATTTAATTAATTACGCGTTTCCTATACTATAGGTATGTACTCGAGGAGCTCGATTGCGCAGTGGTTAGCGCGTTCGTTTGCCATTCTAAGCAACTTTAGCAATGGCCATTCATAGGATGGGTAGCTAAAAAATTATAGTCCTGAGCTAGTCCGTGCTTCGGAAGGCATATTAAGACGTTGTCCCCGGCTGCACCCGTAGTTGTTAACACCCATTAATTCGCACATATTAGATTTGATTCCATCCACAAGAAAGGCCTATGTCCCAGTATTGGGGACATTAATGCTGATGACGAATCTATACACAATTGGGTTGAAAGAATGCACTTAATTTACCCAAATGGAGTATGGTCAATTTTCATCTATTTTCGTTAATAACTTCAAGATTATTTGTACAAAATCTCAACTTAATTGATACATTAAATACACATTAATATGTGACAGACGTGAGTAAAGTTATATAAACCTTTTTTCTATTCTGGTCAAATTCAATCAATTAAAACGGTTCCAAAAGGTCATAAAGGTTTTGTTTCTGTGAACTTCTATACTGCGACAACGCGGTGCTCGATGTCGAGTTAGAGCTTGATTTTATCACAGAATAGCAAAGCTAGTTACTAAAAAAAAACCTGTGCTATCAATTTTAAACTTAATGTTAACAAGCGAAGGCTTAAAGTCGATTAGAGAATTTATACCTTCTGTTGTATAGAATTATAGAATTAAGAGGTTCTGTTGTAGGCTGTATCTATTATTCTGTTAGTCAATTAAAAATTGCTAATGGTTAATAGTGATCAAATTGACCAAGTGAGGTCGTTCAAAGATACTAAAATGCAGGGCTTGGAAACCGGTTAATTTTTTGAACCGGTTCGACGTAAGTACATGCGAAACTTTACATAAAAGGTTCAGCTCCTTTGAACAGGTTTTTAAACCGGTTCACTAGAAATACGGTTTTCTTCATTAACCGGTTTAAATATGACTCCAAACAATAATCTCACAAACTTCAGCGTGGTTTTTAAGTGCCTTTACTCCTATCTATAACGTCGCTTAAAATCATATAATTCGCATTAAAAGCGTAAGAACATTGCTTTTTACGAACCAAGCAAACTAACCGGTTTTTATTCCATCCGAATTTCACACCGCATTTAGTTCCGATCCGAAACGGAACATTATATGAGAACAGGTTTTACCTAAATAAAAACGGTTTATTTTGAACCGGTTTCAAGCCCTGCTAAAATGTCGAGTTCGTAGCTGTAAAGTCAAGCCTGACGTGACGTAGCGCATGCGTCACCAAAACGTTAGTCGATGGTAGCAATTCTGTTGCACAAACTACACCAAATTTAGATTTTTTAAACGACGTTTTCAATTGTGAATATAAAAAAGATTACAGAAGTAAACTTTTTACGTCTTCTTATAAACGAGGGCTAAAGTTGGTATTTGATTTAAACCGTTGGCTGCCCACAGGAGAGAAAGCGTCGAAGAGACTCGTTTTGGTTGGATAATGGTATAAAGCTTGCCACTAAATCGCTCGTTTTATAATAAGGCGGATTATGTTCCCGATTATAGGTGATGTTTTATAGGAAACGATTATGATATAATGTTAAAACAAACCAAAACTGAAGTTAGATTTTTTAGTTTAGTTTAAAGAGTGGTACAATAGAATAGTCACCAGTGTAATGTGAGGTAACTATTATTTTAGTGAATTTATTTTTGTAGTTTAAATAATATTTCGATTTCATAAAAAAAATGTGAAAATGGAGGAGGAATGAGAGGATATGAATTAATTGCCGATAGCCCAAGCAATATATGGGGCCCAAAAATTATGAGCTAAGTTAATGAACACAAGCCATATGTTTTTATTTCTTTGTGTGGTCTTTTTATTTTTTCAGTCGACATTAACCATACATTTTCATCAAACTCACTTGGTGAATACTTCGAACCAAGAGATAAAATATTATTTATTATCATATCTATACTGCGCTCTGCCAAAGAGTGGAATTGCCGTAGGCTCCTTTTGCGCAAGCTTACACCAGAGCCCACAGGCTTTCGCTATGGACGGAACAAAAAGGACACAAATGACTTGAACCAACGGCGAATACCAAAAGCGGATAGATGAGTGTTAATTGCAGTTGCATAAGAATATGAGATTATAAATTTTGGACATCCATTTTGTTCCCGACCTTTGCGAAAGTAGCTTAACCACATCACGGATCGAATGCATTAGCCACTGCATCGTCTAGTTCCTCAGGCCAAGAGTAGGAGTAAACCAATTATTAACCAACAAGTGTATATTATAAATACCGATACTCACCGACGTCACAGACGAGACTGCCCGGCTCTAGGTCCGACAGGAACGCGTGTACTCCTGGTGCGGGCGCGCGCGCATCGTCCCCGTCCTCGCCCGCTTGCTCGTACACGTCGTGCACGTACGCACGCTCGAGCGCCGCCCCCCGCGCGCCCCACTCGCCGCCCCCGCCCACGCATCCGCCCCCGCCCGCCTCAGCCTCCGCACCCCACCCGCCATCCGCCATCACCGCACCGCCATTGCACTGCGCTGGAATACAAATAATGCACATTAGAATCACATTTTATTAGCCAAAAAAGAATCGAATCATTTTTGCGACCAACCGGGTTAGGTTGCTGGTAGACAAAGTGAAATACAGTGCTATTCGGTTAAGTTGTTGCATCATCAGATGTTCAATCAAATAAAACCTATTTCCGTAATGAAGAGGTTAATCTATATTTGGCTGAGATGATGCTACAAATTTAAAGAGATAAGCTGCGAAAAATTTGTGGATTAACCAGTGGCGTAGCTACTAAGGGGCTAGGCGGGGCAGTGCCCTGGGGCCCTCAAGCTCAGGGGGCCCTCGAATCTTTACCAGAAAATCTCAGTCGAACTCAACTTTTGAAAATTTCTCCCATTTTCAAAATAAATATGACAGATGACAACTCGAGTTTAATCATGGCAACTCAGTTGTGAGAAATTCCAAAGTTATAAAAAGGGAATTCCCCTAAATTATTTGTGTGGGTTGAAAATGTTATTTATGTTTTCATCAATTTGTCGGATATCAATATCTGCATATTATTATTTATCGATATGCGTTTTTTGTGATTCGCGATTGTGATCTTAGAGTCAAGATTTTTTTCGAGAATGGTTAAGAAGTTAATGTATCAGGAGTAAGTAAGCGTATGTCAATAATTTTTTTGTACTGGTCCATACAAAAGTTCAATTTCATTTGATTATAGTACGTATACATAGTTACGTTAAGAAATCGATAGATTTCGGCTACTCACTATATAACTCAAAATACCGTGCAAAATACAAGTCACATGCGGTCCATAAATTACGTGATTTTTTTTGTCATTTTTTCAACCGTCAAATGTGGTATCACTGGCAACGATAAAATGTTTGCCGGGGATTCCCCAACGACGTCTTGTATTGTATCATTACGTTTCGCTTTCCTTTTACTTATAAGGTTGTCAGTGAACAGTGAGTACCTACTTGAGTACATTTTTTAGAAAACAGGTCAAAAAAAACCCAGTGGTGATTTAAACGCAAACAACGCCAAGAAAAAGAAGAAAGTAAACTAACTAAATTGCCGAAAGTTGACAAGTATTTTAGTCAGCCTGAATAAATAAATATATAATAAACCCTTGAATAATTTCTATTTCGTTTTATTGCCCAATACCTACACTAAGTATAAAAATAATTGTAATTTATGTTGTTAGTGTTTAATAGTTTTATTACCTGCCCATGCACGAAAAAGAGCTAATGATAAAGTTGCTTAGCATTTTTAAAGTATTTGTATATTTAATGATTTTACTTCAAAAAACCTTACCAGTTTTGATAGCAGTGGGCCCCATTTTTTTTATTTGCCCCAGGGCCCTAGGTTACCTAGCTACGCCATTGGGATTAACGCAATATTTTTTTCCCCATTTATTGTAGTCTTTGTACCTATACGTATGCAGGGACCCTAAAAACATTGAAAATGTTGAAAATATTAAATAGCACACGATTCATGAATTGTATAAAGCTTTTTCTAAAAAACTTTGAAATTGAACAATACTTACATACAAGGAAAAGAATGCTTTAAATCACGGCACGGCAAGACGCGAGTTATCGAGTGCCAAATTGATTTTAAGAACCTTTCTTAAAAGCAAGAAATAATTGCAGAATATCTGTGTTTCGCAATGGGCAATCCATTGTCTTGGACTATCCAGTTACAAGTAGGGTTGCCATTAAATATGTGAATCAAGATAAATACAAGTAGGTGATATTTATATTTTGCTCTCGGGAGAAAAATGTAAACATCCACCTACTTGAGTGACTTTTGTGCACCGAATTTAACCCAAAAGCATCATGAAACACCAACACCGATTTCCCTTTGAAATACTTTTAAAATTTATCAAAACAGGTCCACCATTTTTTGGTAAACTGCACATTATTATGTTATATTGCTTCTTTGTACATTGGACCTATATTAACCCCGAACTTGTAAGACGCCTGCTAAAACTACGAAACTGGACATAATATATATATTCTTTATAGGTTAACGCTTGACCACGATCCCACTTGATGGTAAGCGGTGATGAAGCCTTGAGTGGTATAGCGCATTAATCGAGTAACAGCCTATTCACTCTTGATTTGAAGACATTCACATTATAATCGGACGGAAATACAGACGCTGACAATTTATTCCAGTCCTTGGCGGTACGTATTATGAATAACGAATCGAATCGTGCCGTTCTTACCAGAGGGATGTTGACGACGAAAGGATGAATACCGGCCGTGCGTCGAGACGTTCGATGGTAGAACGGGGAGGGGGGAATTAGGCCATGCAATTCCTGCACACACTCTCCAAAATGTATCCTGTAGAATACCGAGAGGCTAGCAACTCTGCGCCTGTGCTGAAGGCTATGCAGATTGGTTTCAACCAATTTCAGGTCACCAATAAGCACGCCCGCCTCTCCATTGAATCCAATACCGAAAGGTGGCATTTTGTGGCACCAGCCCAAATGTGGCAGCAGTACTCCACACACGACCGAACCTGCGCTTTGTATAACATCAAAAGCTGTTCTGGTGTGAAGTACGGCCGGACCTTCGCTAGGATTCTTAGCTTTCTAGCTGCTGTTTTGACTCAATGAACCGCCCAAAGTTAAGGTTTGAGGATATCTCTACTCCCAATAACTGAAGGCGGTCGTTATATTCCAAGGAGACATTTCGGAGAGTAGGAGCCAAGGTGAACATAAGAAAGATAAGTCAGTACAATCCCAATTTATGATTTGATCAAGGGAAGCCATATGGAGGCCCCCCAGGATAAGAGGCTTGCCGGTGCCCGCGAAGATAAATTTCTCTTCCTATCTTCGCGGGCGCCGGCAAGCCGTAAGGGTCAATCAATCGGTTTCCGACTAGACTGACCTGTTTGCTGGTGTACCACAAGGCGGCGTTCTCTCTCCTCTCCTTTTCTCTATATTTATTAACTCACTTACACCTATTCTTTCGACCTCTTATCATCTGTATGCTGATGACCTGCAGCAGTACGCACAAGACAAGATTGATTACTTGGATAGCGCTATTAAACAGCTGAATCAAAACCTCAAGCGAATATGGGAATGGTCACAGAGCTTTGGCATAACAGTTAACCCTAAAAAATGTCAGGCCATCATCATAGGAAGTCCCAGTCTAATTTCCCGGTTGAATCTGAGCACCGTTCCGTCTGTATCATATAATGGTGTGGTGATCGCCTACACTTCCACAGTAAGAAGTCTAGGGCTTGTCTTGGACCGTACGCTCTCCTGGGAGGGCCATATGGCGAATGTCTCTCGCCGTGTTCATGGGACTTTTGGCGCATTATACCGACTTAAGAATTTTCTCCCATCCAGTACGAAGACTGCCCTCGTGCAGGCCCTTGTTCATCCCCTTTTTGATTATGCAGGTGTTTGTCTCTCTAACATTAATCTAATATTTCTCGATAAGTTGGATTGTCTTCTTAATAACACTATCCGCTTCGTTTTCGGTCTACGTAAATACGATCATATCTCTTTGCAATTCTATACGATCCACGCGCGCCTGAATATCTGAAATCTAGGTTTCAGTACTTGGGTGCCTCTCATTAAAAACAACTTCGCTCCAGTTCTACTCTGGTACTCCAGACTCCTTCTCATCAATCTATGTTTGATTCCAAATCTTTTTCTCTTACTGCTATACGGCTGTGGATGCACTACCTCTGGACGTACGAAATGCTCCGAATAGGTTAGTTTTCAAGAGAAAAGCGCGTGAACACTATCTAAAAGGTAACAACTTTTCCTGACTTTCCAATCTGACATGTCGATGTTTATTTTACTGTATATGTATATATTTATTTATGTATTTGTTTGTTTGTATGTATTGTCTTAATGTCATATATGTATGTATATGTGTCTATATATGTGTTTGATTGTTAATTATATCAGAATACTAATTCTCTATCACTGTCACTGCCTTACAAATTTTCTGTTTATTCTCTCCGGTTGACTGGTAGAGAATGCCTATGGCATTAAGTCCGCCATTTGCAGTAATATGGTAATAAAGATTAAATAAATAATAAATAAGAGGCTCGGGGCAAACCGCTCCCTATCTCCTTAGTCCGTCACGGAGAGAAACATATTGAAATTTTTAAACCCGACCAAGCCTGCGATTCTGTAACAATCCAGACTCGATTTTGAATTCATTCATGTGTCCGAATTCACTTTATTGAATGTAGAAATTCTATAAATCAATTTTTGGTATAAAAATATAGAACACAACTGATTGCTTATACGTGTCTCAGATATTCTATTCCTATGTCATTTCGTAACTCACTTCACTTATGCCACGAACCAATTCAAGGTTGAGCTGATGCCGCTTTTTGAAGTGAATTCTAATTCTGCTTTGGATTTTTACAGAATCACAGGGCAGATCTTCCAAACGAGCTCCATAGTTGAGTGACTAGCGTGCCGGTTAGGTAAAGGTATATCCGAGGTCTTGAATTTGATTCTCAGTCAGGTCAATGTAAAAACTAAAATTTTATATATTATCCCAGGTGTTGGTATTGACAACTGAACCGTAATACGCGAACTTTAGCTGCTAATTTTGTAATCTGTGCAATGTATGTGTAATATTATCTAATATTTATATAACACACTTGTGTTGGGCAGATTAACCTTTGCGTTAGCCAACAGGATTTTAGAAAATCCGGAGAATGGGCAGACAGGTGGCAACCCTAACGGTTATAACTAACGTTGATACGTTTTCCAAGTAATGTTTGTTTTTATTACTTACAAAATTGCATTGTCTCCGACTGAAAATGTGTATGCAAGCAAATTAAGTTTATTTATCGCTATACGATTCTCATTGATATTCAATTACATAGCAGTTTTCAGTTTTGTTTGTGTTTATTTTTATAATGGAAGTTTATGCATGTCATAGTATTGATAATTTCATGGAGTGATCGTTTTATTTAATGGCTGTATTTTTATGTTTCATGATATCGTTCAAATGTCAACTTGTATT